AACAGGAATGCTTGTGATACTCAGAATAACTGACATAATACCTTGTGTCCCCAATTATATATCCGTACTACAACAGTCCGCTTACACATAGTTCCAATTACAGAACATGACCAAACCAACTGTGCGAAATACAAGTCAGTTCAGAGTGCAAAACAGACTCAAAATGTTGCTCTGAATGTATGTGTATAAGAGGAGGACGAGGAAGAGCAGGTGTGCATAGTGATGTATATGTGCATTAGGGTTTTCCCCTTCGCCTGCAGAGATGACAGTGTGTGTGTGTGTGATGTGGAGAAACTCCTCCAGCCGGACCAACATGAAGACGTGATGCTGAAGCAGAATCAGTCTCTAACTGACTGTCTCTCTTCTGAGGTTATACTGTAACCTTTTTGGCTTTTGCAGTTGGGTTACTCTGTATTTTTACAGTACGGAAGTGGTGAATATACCGTCATTCAATAGGCCTACTGTACAATATTCAGTACAATACTACACTTGTACTCAGACAATTTATTCACCTTACTACTGTAATTTGTAATTACTATATATTTGTACAACATTTGTTTACTTTGTTTCAATATATATTTTTTTCTGTAAACTGCATGCTTCAGATTCTGTGTTCTTTTGATGTAGTGTCTAATGACTGATCTGTAGTGTCTATAATATTGACTGATGTGTGTATGATCTGAGAGTATTGTGGGATTTTGAGCACAGATTAAATGGTTTTGAGTCAATTGTTTGTTTGAAGAGTCAGAGGTTCTCTGAATGTGGTTTTAAAAACACACAAACACACACACACATCTTACTGTCTATGTGAGGAGTTACAGTTTTTGTGAATTGCTAAAACACATATCTTGAAACTATTACTGCCTTCCTCAGAACCTTAAACACAAACTAATGCAATGCTTCTCATGGTTATGGAGCTATAGAAGATAGTTCCTTCATCTCAAATGTATTATCTGAGATAAAGTTACTGACAAAAAGATCCCTCTCCTTTATATTGGTATCATTCTTTTAACAGTGATTAAAAATGATGTAAGGATTGTGTAAGGATTAATTCTATGTGAGGATTCATTCTATATCACATCTCTAATTACAGGATGTATGTATGTATGTGTGTACAGATGTTTGTATGTATGGGTGGATGGACGGGTGGATGGATTGATTGATGGATGGATGGAAGGGTGTATGAATGGATGAATGGGTGGAGGAAAGGGTGGATGGATGAATGAATGGATCATGGATGGATTGATGAATGGATGGATGGATGAATGGGTGGATGGATGGATGGATGGATGGATGAATGGGTGGGTGGATGGATAAATGGGTGGGTGGATGAAGGAATGGGTGGATGGATGTATGGATGAATGAATGGATGAATGGGTGGATGGATGGATGAATGGGTGGATGGATGAAGGAATGGGTGGATGGATGGATGAATGGGTGGGTGGATGGATGAATGGGTGGTTGGATGGATGGATGGATGGGTGGATGGATGGATGAATGAATGGGTGGATGGATGAATGGGTGGGTGGATGGATGAATGAATGGGTGGATGGATGGATGAATGGGTGGGTGGATGGATGAATGGGTGGGTGGATGGATGAATGGATGGATGGGTGGATGGATGAAGGAATGGGTGGATGTATGGATGGATGAATGGGTGGATAAATGAATGGGTGGATGAATGGGTGGATGGATGAATGGGTGGATGGATGAAGGAATGGGTGGATGGATGGATGGATGAATGGGTGGGTGGATGAATGGGTGGGTGGATGGATGAATGGGTGGGTGGATCGATGAATGAATGGGTGGGTGGATGGATGAATGGGTGGGTGGATGGATGAATGAATGGGTGGATGGATGAATGGGTGGGTGGATGGATGAATGGGTGGGTGGATGGATGAATGGATGGATGGATGGATGAAGGAATGGGTGGATGTATGGATGGATGAATGGGTGGATAAATGAATGGGTGGATGAATGGGTGGATGGATGAATGGGTGGATGGATGAAGGAATGGGTGGGTGGATGGATGGATGAATGGGTGGGTGGATGAATGGGTGGGTGGATGGATGAATGGGTGGGTGGGTGGATGGATGAATGGGTGGATGGATGAAGGAATGGGTGGATGGATGAATGGGTGGATGGATGAATGGGTGGATGGATGTATGAATGGATGGATGAATGAATGGGTGGATGGATGAATGAATGGGTGGGTGGATGAATGGGTGGATGGATGAAGGACTGGGGCGATGGATGTATGGATAGATGAATGGGTGGGTGGATGAAGGAATGGGTGGATAAATGGATGGATGGATGAATGGGTGGATAAATGGATGGATGAATGGGTGGATGGATGAATGGATGGAAGAATGAATGGGTGGATGAATGGGTGGATAAATGGATGGATGAATGGATGGATGAATGAATGGGTGGATGGATGAAGGAATGGGTGGATGTATGGATGGATGAATGGGTGGATAAATGAATGGGTGGATGAATGGGTGGATGGATGAAGGAATGGGTGGGTGGATGGATGGATGAATGGGTGGGTGGATGAATGGGTGGGTGGATGGATGAATGGGTGGGTGGGTGGATGGATGAATGGGTGGATGGATGAAGGAATGGGTGGATGGATGAATGGGTGGATGGATAAATGGGTGGATGGATGAAGGAATGGGTGGATGGATGTATGAATGGATGGATGAATGAATGGGTGGATGGATGAATGAATGGGTGGGTGGATGAATGGGTGGATGGATGAAGGACTGGGGCGATGGATGTATGGATAGATGAATGGGTGGGTGGATGAAGGAATGGGTGGATAAATGGATGGATGGATGGATGAATGGGTGGATAAATGGATGGATGAATGGGTGGATGGATGAATGGATGGAAGAATGAATGGGTGGATGAATGGGTGGATGAATGGATGGATGAAGGAATGGATGGATGAATGAATGGGTGGATGAATGGATGGATGTATGGATGAATGAATGGTTGGATGGATGAATGAATGGGTGGGTGAATGAATGGATGGACAGAAGGGTGGCCGTCCTACTCATTTGATATTTCTTTTTTTCCTGTATTGCATTTGTGTTTTAACCCAGTAAAATGCTACCATTTAAAACTTGAAATTTTTTTAAACTAAAATTGGAATGTTCTTCAATTGTATTTGAAATTTTACTGAAGTTTCTATTTACAATGTGTTTACACTAAGTTACAAGTGTTGAACATTGTAGCCAATCATAGAGATGTTTTTTTGAGTTCTTGAATGAAATGGCTGGACACGAGTATAAATTCAGATTAAACTAATATCACTTGTTCTTTGACACGAGTTTCCTGCAAGTAGTGCCGCATCTTCACAATCTCCAGATCCAAAAACAAGTGAAGAAGCAGCAACGAATGACAGAAAATTGCTTACGCATATGTAAGCTAACGTGATCAAACATTCAACAGCATATCAATCTAAACTGCCTAATGTTACTGAATGAAATGTTCCCCATGATTGTGGCCAGCCTAAGGCACACCTATGCAATAGCCATGCTGTCTAAATCAGCATCTTGATATTTGACACCTGTGAGTTGGATGGATCATCTCAGCAAAGGAGAAGTGCTCACTAACACAGATTTAGACAGATTTGTGAACAATTTTTGAGAGAAACAGCCCTTTTGTAAACATAGAAAAAGTCATATCTTTGAGTTCAGCTCATGAAAAATGGGGGTAAAAATAAAAATGTTGCATTTATAATATTGTTCAGTGTATTCAACAGTATTATTGATGCGACTGCAATGACACTGTTGTATGAGAACTGAACTGAACTGTTTCCTCCAGGGCTGCTTTACAGATGAAATAACCTCATTATCACAATGTACTGAATCAACACTTAACTGAACAATGACACTATTGTCCTTTTAGAGCTGTTTTACAGCTGAACTGTGAAGCTGCATTGGAACAGTCTGTATCATCTAATCCAGTCCTTCAGCATTATTTGAGAACTACAGATGTGTGTGTTGGAGCAGGTTAGGAACAAAACTCTGCATGATTGTGGCTCCCGATTTAGACCGTAGTGACAGTCAGAATTGAAACAGGTCTTAATATTATATAAGAGTAATGAATAACTAATAAGGTAAAATTGCGTGAGATGTCCTTCCAACTTTTCTTCTGACCATATGTCACCAAATTTCAACATTTATTGAATGGTTAACACCGGATCAGCTTAGCAGTTCACTGACCTCTTTTTTGTTGGAAAGAATGATCTGTGAATTTATATTGGTTTTCAATGGGGGATTTGTAAATGCATTTTTTGTTATTTAGATTTGCAGGGAGAAAACTTTTTAGATTTTTGTTTTGGTGTGAAAATTTAGAGATAGATCCTTGGGGGTAAGATGACCCACTCATGTTTTTGATTCTACTACCTTTAGGAAATGTTGCACATACATGTCTACTAACTCTCAGCCTCAGAGCATTAGCTAAATGTTTATTAAACTGTTAGGGGTTGGGTTAGTATAATAAGTTCACTTATAGTTGAAATGTTACTTATAGTCAATATAATGTCAAAAGTGGACCATTCAAATAAAGTGTTACCATATTTATTATAATTGAGGGAGCTATTCTTTTTTAAACTATTTTACTAATTTCATACATCTTCTTTAGTCTTCATTATAGGCTATTAAAATGACTAGAATGCATCTCTTGTGACACTGTTATTATTTTTTTTAGTATCAAAATATACATAGAATATCTGATTCAGTATTTCACACAAAAAATCTATCAACAGTGCCCTTTCTTTCAAAGTAAATTAGCAAATGTATTTGCAAATGTATTTCCTGAAACAATATATTAATTGACGCACCATCGTCATCATCCTGTGCCTGTCATGTTGCAATAAATGCAGACTGTTTTTAACAGGTTAATTAAAAACATTAGCACTATAGTGTGAATTTTATAAAATTGATTCTCAATATACATTTAGGAAACTTTATACAACTGGTAGAAAGAAGTGATGCTTTGCAGACACTTTATTACACAAATAACATTGTTACTGAAAATAGTTTTCTTGCAATAAAACCTCATTATCACAACAAATATCAGACACATCTCACATTAGCTTCGAAAACGTAGTAAATACAGCCTTAAATATGTAGTCATCTTTTTTTCTTATTCTTTTTTAAGATGCCAAAAAAAACCTAAACTCAAATCACAGTAGCAGCTCTTAAATATGTGGCACATCTGTAGTAATATATAGGTGCTGCGGAAGGCGAAACACGTAAAAGGCACAAACATACGGAAAAGTTATGACACAAAATGCCTGGATCAATTATATATTAATTGCACTGCTATCAGATTGATGAATTATTGGAAGAGATTGACTAGCTGTTCATCATTAAAACTAAATAAATAATCTACGTTTACCCTCCTGTTAAAAAAATTAAAATCAAATGTCTTTATCCTCAAAATGACCAGTGCTTTGTATCTCCACGTGGTCCCTTAAAATCATAAATTAAAGTGGCAGTCGTAGGTCTCAAAGAGAAAGTTTTCACACAGAAGATAAAATGTTTCAGCAGCCGATACAAACGATTACAGGGGTGCTTACAGTAGGTCCTGACAGCGCTAGCAGAAGACACTCTTTAGGACGAGGACGCCGGTGGAGGCGGAGCGGAGTACTCTTCGTTCTCAGAGTCGGTCCCGTCCTCTTCGTCCTTCTCCAGGTCGCTGCCTTCTGTGCTGAGCCGGTCGAAGCCGTGCCGGGTGTAGCCTTTGTGGGAGGCGAAGAAATTCCCCAAGTTCAGGCCTCCTGCAGCTTTACCTGTGGATGAGACGGACAGAAAGAGGGTTACTCAAAACCGAAAAATACAAACTAAACTGCTGAATGAGAACTAACGGACGCACAAGAACAATTCTCATTGGTTTGAACTTCCATTTACCATGTTTGATGCGCTGTGTGTATGTGCAGTGATCACTCTTTATATGGGAATAAAAGCCTAAATTCAATCTGTTCATCATATACAGCGAGTCTCTTCTGAAGACTTGGATTATTCATATGGAATTATTTTACCTTCTCTTTATGAAAGTTTTACAGTGTCAGAGATTTGTGTAAATGATTTCAAACAAAAATGATCTTGATTTGTTTTGTGAAGATGGTTTGGAACGACATGAGAGTGAGTAAATGATGATAGAGTTTTGACTAAGTTGAATTATCCCTTTAATTTTGTAAAGTTATCACAAATCTGTTTTTTGAGAAAATCAACTGAAAAAATGATTTTATCACAAGGCTGTAATATAACAAATATGTTCTGACTTTCACAATTTGTATAATTCTTCCAATAGTGTACTTATAAATAAGATACTTTTGTTAATATAACTGAATACTTTACTGATAGCGGTAAACTTGTCGAAAAATATGGTAAAATATAGAGTCATCTAAACCAGGGTTATAATAACTCACAAAAAAATATGAAAAAAAAATATTCATATTTTATTTCAGCTAGCTGACACGGCAACATTTCTCATTTTTGTTTAGTTAAAGTTAAAGTACTAAAATAATTCAAACAAACTAAAACTTCATAAAAACAGTAGATTTATTTAAAAAACTAATAAAAATGACAAAAAGGTACATTTTAAATGCAAACAGAAAATATTCACATTGTAAGTGTTATTTTTTGGATTGTTACCGCAGCTTTTTTGCACATAAGAGTATATTTTGAGAAACGTTATATGTTTCGTGCTAATATTTATATATCTGAAACACAAAGTAAAGATGTAAAATCAGATTGGACTTCAGCAGTGTGGTTTCGTCCCGCACTGAACCGGCCACAAGAAAGGATCCCGACACACACACATTTCTGTTTAAGAAGCAAGATGACCATGATGTCGATAATCCCTCTTACCTCTGATTTTACCCAAGATTCCACCTGTAGATCCTGATGGCTCCATCTTCACTTGACAATCTTCTTAAAAGCAGAAATGGATCAAAAACTATCTGATATACAACACATGGCATGAACAAGACTGTCATGGACAAATTCCACAATTACCACTGTACATCCTGCCCTTCCTCCAGCGGATGAAGACCCCGATGGCGATCACAAACGCCAATGGGATGAGGAGCAGAGTGGTGATGACAGCAGGTGACACACCCTGAGCGCTCTGATTGGCCACGCTCGGGAGCTTCTCCTTCTGCTGGTTTTCCTCAGGAGCTGCCAGCGGCTGCTGATGCTTTTCCTGCGCCAGCTCCTCCATCTTCTGCTCCGGCTGCTCCATCTTCTGCACAGCGGCCACCGCAGACAGGGCTGGAAGCTTGGGCAATGGCTTCAGATTGGCCTGCACAAACGTTTCTGTTTCTAAAACACAAGAGAAGAACCAGTGGAATATTAATTACCAATTCGAGGGAATGCTTAACTGTTATGAAAACAGGTTAAATAGACTACTTTTGGTAGTTTAACCCATGAAGTCAATTGCAGAATTTTAATCGTAGAATAATAATAATTTTTTATTTATATAGTGCCTTTCCAACACCCAAATTCGCTTTACGAAGACAGGTTAGGGAACAGAACCAAATAAACATCAAAGCAAAATACACATACCAAGGGCAGAAAGTATTATACAAAAGTCGCTTACAAAGTTATGTTAAAAGAGGGATTTAAACGTATATCATATTCATAACAAGGTACAATGCACAGACCAATCACTGACAGGGGGCGGGTGTTGAGGTTTTGCGCTCGTGCACGGCTACACGCGGAGGTGGAGCAGAAGAAGAAGAAGCCAGCATCTATCAACAAACCCCTGTCAGTGATTGGTTGGAACACTATTTATTTTGGAGTGGTTTGTGAACCCAATTGTTTTTGTGTGCAGATCTCCAGGCCTAGGCTGCCTAAAGAAGACGCGTTTTTTGACGGCCTGATTTTGGAGCGGGCAGCTAGCGGATTGTTAGGAAAAATTACATGAATGTAATCATTTATCTTTGGGCCTGAAATGGCAGATACAACCTTTAAACAAAAGAGTGGAATCAATGAAAACGCCATATGTCGTAGAGGGCATTATCAAGTCACCATCCAAATATATCAGTTGACCAGATGATTTAGATATCAGATTTAGAGACGATCAATATTTACCCAAGTTAAAAAGCACCTATTATGCCCCTTTTTACAAGATGTAATATTGGTCTCGGGTGTCCCCAGAATGTATTTGTGAAGTTTCAGCTCAAAATACCCCACAGTTAATTTATTATAACCATTTTAAAATGTCATTTTAGGGGCCTGTTTTAAAATGAGCGGTTTTGGTCTATACCACCTTAAATGCAAATGAGCTGAATATCCCCGCCCTGCCTTTGGAGGAGGGCGTCACTTGCAGACTTATGGCAGTCGGGAAGCAGAAGGGCTGAGAGAGTGAGAGAGAGTACTCACTGTCATTCAGCCGTACATGTTTGAATCGGAATATATAAATAGTCTCTGATCAGCTCCAGATGACGAAGAGACTCCGGCAGAATAAACACAAATGAGAGAATGGACCAGGACATCTCGGTATGCTTATTTGATACATTTATGTACTTATAGAGTTGTAATCGCGTCCCCTTTGAAATTATGGATGTGCAACACACACACACACACACACACACACACACACACAAACACACAGACACACACAAACACTAACGTTGGCGCAATTTTTTGGAACTACATACACATTCTGTGATAAAGTTTGCTACATACAAGCGAAATTACATTTATGCGAGGGACCTGTTGCGTCATGTTTACATTACTTGTCATGCAGGTGCTTCTGTGGCAAATGTGAGAAGATAGTTAACTTACAGAACAACAACATATATGCAGTTTTTAATACGATTTCTTTACATATATATATATATATATATATATATATATATATATATATTTATAAACGTGTGGTTACACACTATACAAACAAGGTTTAAATTATATAAACAGACATCCTACGACGACGACAATAACTTTAGACACATTTGTTGTTGAATTGGCTGACATCGACTGAAATGACTATTTACTCAAAAATCATAACTTACACTTACTGGAGGTGACGTTGGATCGCAAACAGTAGACGACGATCCACAGTTGAGGATTAACTTTGAAGCAAGACCTGCTTTGAATTGACCCTCGTTCACAAAACAATCCTTCAGAAAATGATTTGCTCAAACATAAACTTATTTACGGAGGAAAGGCGCCACTTAAACTTCCAAAATACAATACATCCACTGTGTTTTCAGTGGCTCTGGTGTCAGAAATAAGTGAAAACTACTATGTATGTCATTATTACATCCCAACCCACAACATAACACTTATGATTCTAGGAGACATTACCGGCTGTCGTTGAAACAATGGAGGATGGTGTACAGATCAGGCGGGGTCTATGCCACAACCACACTGTCAATCAAACCCCTTGCTCAATTCTATGTCACAAAGAGCTGAATCTTAGAACCGCTCGTCCTGAGGCAGTGCAGATGATTTATTGAGATTGTAAAAAAAAAACACTGGGTGGATTTTTATCATTCTAGGGTGGTTTTTCTCACACACTGCCAACACAGATTTCTGTTCAAACACCATGTAAAAGTGAATTTTCCATAATAGGTGCCCTTTAAATTTAAGGTAATTTGCTCAAGCCAAAGCTTGAGTTCCTCGACACAAGTTGTTACTGTAGGCAGAGGAAACACTGAGGTGGGAGGTGTGCTAATTTAAATCTGAATGTCATCAGCATAACAGTGGAAGTTAAACAAATTAATAATTTGTCTAACATATAAATAGTGAAAAGAAGAGGGCCCAAGACAGAACCTTGAGGGACACAACTGATGGATTTGGTGGATAATTTGTGCTTCTGGTATATAACAAATTGTGGCAAAGGCTGTCCCAGTAATTCCAATTGCTGAAAGCCATGACAGGAGTATCTCGTGACTAACAGTGAGCTGAGGTCTAGCAGAAGGAGAGTGCCAGAATCAGAAGATAGGAGGTCATTAAGAGCCTTAACCAGGGATGTTTCAGAACTGTGTAACAGACTGGAAAGGTTATACGCAGTTAAATGAGGTTCAGTGTACTTGGCCTGATGGTTGCAGGATGTGTTTGACATAAGGCTCAGAGGCACAATATGCCCTTTGTGAAGGTTTCATTGCTTCATTGATGACATACTAAGATCATTATTTCAAGAGCAGCAATAAAAACCTTCACAAAGAGCATATTGTGCCTCTGAGCCTTATGTCAAACACATCCTTCAACCATCCGTGATAGGAAAGGTACACTGAACCTCATAGTCCTTTTTTAATGAAGTGTATGTGTTTCCCGCCTGTCACAAATAGTGTGTTTTCTCAAGTTTTAAAAGGAAAGGCAGCACCAAAATTTAGAATACACGTGAAATGTTTAAAATTTCCAATTGGTAAAAATAAATCCCTTAAATGCAACATCAAACTTTTAGTAATTAAGAAATTACTCACAAAAATTCTCTGCTCTGGTCTGAGAACTGGGATTAGCATTAGGCTAGTACAACCACAGTTTGTATACGCTCTTGTTTCGGAAAATCAGTCTCTAGTTCCGCCTTCTCTATGACATCATGCACATCGTTAAAAACAACTAGCGCTGATTGGTTGGGAAGCAACAGGTAGTATGGCATGTCCACGACATGACAAGAATTTTGTAGTCCAAATCACACAATCTGACACAGTGATGTGACATTACCTTCAATTTCTTGAACCTCAATTCCACCTTTTTTAACAGAGCGATGTTCTGCTTCTGAAATGAGGAAAAAAAATCTTCAAGCTTAATTTTTTGATGTCAGAACAGACAAAAAGCATAGCTTTTCTCATGTACATATTTTTTATTTGAAATGTTATGCTGCTATGTTCACATATAGTTATATTTATTATAACTTACTTGAAGACGGAACAAACTTCATTACAGAATCTGATGCTGCGTCTCCAACAAAGACGCTCCCATCAGCTGTAACAACAATGTCATGTGGTAATTTAAATTCCTGAAGGAAAAACAGAAGGAAACGACTTCAGATTCAGAACAAAATATAACAATGGTTAAATAGATCCATAACAAGACATTCTATTTTGTTGCAGCAATACGGAATAATGCTAAAATTGCTTGTTTTTCCTCATTTGGTAAATCGGTGTGGCTGAAAGCAACTACTAAACGAATAAATGTGAATGTAAAACGTAAAGAGTAGAGAAACCTGCTATAACTAAGATATTTGCTTATTGGCATGAAAATAAATCCTAAAGAAAGATGTGAGCACTACTTCTTTATACTTGATTATACATCATCATCACTCTTCTTTAAATCAACAAAAAAGACAAGCTTTAAAGGCGCAGTAAGCGATTTCTGAGAAAAGCTGTTGATATCTAAAAGCCCTACCTAAAAGCTATCTTTATAGCTCCGCCCCCCTATTCATGAACAAGCTATGCATGGTACGCAGGCACCTCCGCCCTAATGAATGGACACGCCCCATAATGTTGATCAGCTACTTTGTTGTGTTGCTCGGTTCGATCCACTTTCAACAGAAATGGCTTATTGCAACTTTAAATCAGACACAAAGCCACAGGGTTGTCTGATGAGAATGAGAAGGCAAGAGGATGCTAGTATTCTACCAAGTGTGTCTATCTGTTCTGCATACCATTTTTCTCCCCCACCAATAAATTATATGAATTTATCCTCTTATTTGCAGACATAACGTGTCATCAGCCTCTAATCTGAACTTGTATGTTCTGCTAAAGCCTCAACCGTTTGTCACGCACCGCTTTGACCTCCACATGAAGAGTTGCAGGTAACATACACATACAAGGTCAGTCTCCGAGCGAGCGACACCCATGTAATCTAATGCAAATAATGTAATCAATGGCTGTACTTTGTACGGCCAATGAGTTGAAAAGGGTGAAACAAAGTTTTTCCTATACATGTGCTGTTAACAACTAACAACTCTCAGCAAAATCACTGCTCCCATCATGAATAGCGTTTCATGCTTGTGTTGTGCTTAGCAGGATTGTGTAAATATCAGCACCTGTGTGTCTGGACTGAAGGCATCCAGGATTTCCTTGGTTGAATAACTGATAACAAACCCTTGAAGAGGAGCAGCCGGCCCATACGGGGATTCTCCATTCACCGCGTAGATGAGACCGCCTGAAACAACACATGAGTGCATGACTGCAGAGTCTACATTACTACGGCGTTGGGTTTAGCATCAGTCATCTAAGGATTTGTATTGACATTATAGATCAAAGTCCATGTGATTTCACATGGTTAGGATTGAGATGCTCAGTGAACTATTGAGCTTTATGAAACTAATGACATTAAAGGAGCAATGTGTGATGTTTAGTGACATCTAGTGGTTCGGTTGCGAGTTTGCACCAGGTTTGCACTAAGGGCTCAGCCCACTGCTCACCCCTCCCTTTCGAAGAAGCTACGGTTGCTAAAACGGGACAAACATCTCGTCGGCTGAGACAGCAGAGAATAGCCAGAGTAAGCCAAGAGTGTGTAACATTGTCGCTGTTTCTGTACCACAGTCCATTATAAACCACATCATGAATACTGTTTACAAAGCCATAGTCAGGTGAGGATCAAGGGTTTTAATATATAATTTAATATAATAATAGTAATCAGCTGATTGTCTCACAAACGTAACCAGCAGCACATTTCTCCACACATACTGTAGCAAACCCATAATACAGCGAGGGAGCAGCTATATATTTTTTCTAACAGGGTAGTAATAGTTTAGCTGGCTAATATGAGCTGTTACTGTGGCTGAGCTGGGACGCGTCCGCATCGCATGAGTCCAAAGGTCGGAAGTGCGCGCGCTGTTACAATCATGTCATCTCCGCATCCCATAGATAGTATTTACTACACACAATAGGCTTTTTTTCTCTGATTTTGAAAACTCTTCGCGATCGACTTTAGTGATCTAAAAGTCTCTATCGACGGCTTAGTGATTCCTGTAACGTACTGTTTTACGGTCAATGACATGAATACTAATCATCAGCTGTCTCACGAAAGTAACAGCACATCTATCCCCAACATAACAAACCCATAACACAGCGAGGGAGAACTAAGTTACATGAAACAATCCCAACTACATATTTTACACCACTCACAAGGGAAAAGTCACTACTCACGGAGTGTAAGGCTAGCTTCCAGCTTTCCGCTACTTCTCTTTCAAGGTAGTGATGAAACGCGTTCTGATGCGCTGTGTTCGCGTTCGGCTACGGTACGAATATGACGTCACAACATGGCGACCTTCAGAGAAGGGGATTCCCGCGGTTATGGAGCTATTAATGTCTCATTCTAAGGTAATAAAAACATTACGGTTAATTAAGTAAGTTCTTTATACACCACTGAAAACATAGTTATGGATGTCATATCGCATTTCTGTCAATAGATACTCAACTTTTTTACACATTGCACCTTTAAAATCTACATGTTCAATCATTCTTTATTTACTCATACCAAAGTCTTTCTTCTGCTGAACGTGAAGGGGAACATATAGCAGCAAGCGGCGATACGTGGCCAAGCATGAGAGTAGCAGATCAGTTACACAAACATTTCACCGGACATAGCATCCCTGGTGAGCATTTTAGGAAAAGCCATGAAAATCCTAATGTAGAATCATAACATAACACTGCTAATAACTGCAATAACCAGTAGGTGTCATGGTCATCCAATTAATAGGAAATTGTCAGGGCATTGGGACATTTACACATAAAGTTGTGTGTCAATGTGTCAAGGACTTCCTGAGTAGATCAAAATCCTGCAGCTTTTCTGGAATTCTAATAAGATAATCTGACACAGATTTGGTGAACAGAGGTATATTCAATGGACTTTATGCACAGCTGCACTACTTCCTGAACTTAAGCCAGCTCTTTAGCCGTTTCTCAATATGCGTACTTGTCTGTACTTGTGTTCTTGTGGACTTATGAAACGTCATCAGTCGCTGCCGAAGTACTGTTCCAATTCAAAGTTCGCATCTAGCCAAGTCCACTTCAAATCCCCGGATGTGTTCTTGATCCGCCCTGTTTACCGAGGATGCATCGAGAGGTGACTTGTGTGGACTTGAGATAGCCAGGTAACCCAGAATGCACCTCGCACCAACCAGCAAGCGTCAATCGGAGAGGAGAAAGTCCGCGAAATATCAAAATACTACTGTTATTGAGTCATGAAATGTAATTTTAAGAGTGTTTCAGGCGAGAATGTGGTTGTTTAAATCTCAAATCTGTAGTTTATTTATAAAGATAGCGCCTATCTGAAAAATGCATCTGACGTTTTCGGAGTTTTGATATCCAAGCCTTCAGCGGACACTCAGCGAGATCAACCCCGACTGGAACAGCTTATCCTCGGCTAGTGCTTCTGACGTTTGCCGCCGGCTCTGATCTCTCTAGTCTAGTGGATAAATCTTGACATATAATTCGTCTTGTGCAAGTCTATCTTTGGTCTCATTAAACTATAGTTTGTTCCATGATGCAAAACAAACAAAAAAAAAAAAATAGTTTGAGGTTTCATGGCTATTTAACTTCAACAACTTTTTTTATATTATCTTCACTATATGAACAATAAAATAAAATGACATAACCCTGTCTCTGTTTGACAAATGTCAATAAAAATCAATGTTTCATATTTTTTAAATTAAAAAACAAAAATATCATGTTCATTTTGTTATAAATATATGCAGTGAAGAGAATCGTGTTGCCTGAACCACATGGCCATTAGGCTATGTTGTTTTTTGTTAATGAAAAGAGTCAGAGGGGTGTTTTATAACATATTTCGTTTTATTGTTGACGAAAAGATGCAGAGTTGTAGCAAATTTCGTTTTATTGTTGCCTAAAATATAGAGCAGAGCGTGCTGAGTGACGCGATCAAGTACGCTCTGTTCCATTTGCAGAAGAACCGGACTTGCGTCCTCGCATCCTCGGGAGTTCGTTCTCCGGAGTCGAACTTGCAAGTCTGAACTACCAAGGACGCAAGTCCGAAGTCTGCGTACTTGGTATTGAGAAACAGCCTTTGTTTCCTGTCTGCCATTATTGGCCAAATTGATTAATCCAGGTGTGCCTGACCTCAGTAGTCATGGCAACAATAATCAGACACACCTGAATTAATCAATTTGGCCAATAATGTCAGACAGGAAACAAGGAGCTGGCTTAAGTTCAGGAAGTAGTGCAGTTGTGCAAAAAGCCCATTCAGCATCAGCTAATGAATCAGTAGGGGAAAAAAAACGACGTTTCTAGACCACACAGGTCTAGAATGAATGCAACTTCGCCATTTTTGCCATGTAGAGCTAGACAGTTCGAAGCATGACTCAAGACTCCAACAAGTCTTTGTGCTTTTGGAAAAAGACCCAGTTTCCAAAATTTCTCCTTTTGTGTTCCACTGAAGAAAGTTATACAGGTGTGACATGAGTACATTATGAAAAACTATTCCTGTGGCGCTGCAGTCTAATTTCAACTAGATATTTTTATGACAACGTAATAAGTCAGATTTATCATGCTCTCTGCATGCATACCTTGGACAGGCGAGTATGCGATGGCAAATACTTCTCCTCCAAACACGTCTTTTTTGATCTCCTTCACAAACTCGCCAGTCTCTGCCATGAAGCACTGAATCCGTCCGTTGTCCCGATCGGCCACACACAGCTCCCGTTTATCCGGCAGGAATGCCAGGCTGTGCGGGATCCTGAACGGGAAACGCCGCTTTCTGTCCGAGGAGCCTATGCCAGCAGCAAAAAAAAGTCTTAAGGCTAAACCATCCAAACAGTGTTCTGAATATCAACCAAATGTTGGATGTTCTGCCTTCCTGATTCAATTCTAGTTAAGCTGAATCATGACTAGCAGCAATAGCACAGTATTGTTAATTGTAAATGTTTTTTATCACTGTAATATCATGTCTGATAAAATATTGTGCAAGGTGTACCTGCTCCCCAGTGTGAGATATATTTGCCCTCTGGTGAGAACTTGAGGATCCTGGAATTGCAGTATCCGTCCGAGACGAAGATGTTTCCAGTGACAGGGTCCACGGCCACATCTGTTGGTTGGCAGAAATGATTCTTGTCGCTTCCTGGTTCAAAAGCTTCTCCCAGGACCAGAAGCTGCTGATCTGTGCCGCTACTGCTCAGCTTGAACACCTAGATATGGAGAAAGAATGCTTCAATCGCACCAACTTAAGTCCAAGTTAACAACACATATGTATATATATATATATATATATATATATGTGTATATTTGATTTATAAAGTTCAGGGTTATTTTACATTTGATTACTTTCTGTACCTGAATACTTGAAAATCTTAAAACTATTTATTTCAATCGTATATTTTTTGCAATTGCTATTTTTTAATTTGTTATTTTCTTTTAATAACTGAGTGTTCACTTGTCTTTAAAAATGCTTGACATTTATATTTGTCAGGCTAGTTGTTCTTCCATGGTATTTTTAAACCAGGGGCAAACGTTCCTAATGTAAGTGTTCTTTAGCCTGTTCATTTTTGTTCTTGATATTCTGCTACAATTAAATGTACTGCAATAAGACTAAATGTGACTGATAGCTAAAAAAAAACAAAACAAAAACTTAGATAATTGTAATCGATATTAGGAATCGATAAGAATCGGAATCGAAAAGCAGAATCGAAATTGTTAAAATTCAAACGATACTCAACCATTGTATCTCGCCTCAACACACCCATATTGAAAATGTGAATTTTGAAGCAGCTTATTTTTGAATAAATAAGCGTCTAAGCAGTAATTAGACAAGAAAGTTTGGGATGTGAGTGTGTGCAGTTTACACTGTAGAACACAACGTCAAAGTATCGCCAAGTACAGGATTTATTTCACTCATAAATTAAAAAAACTCATTAAAACCTCAAGGAAAATCTCGAAGGAACTATCGGCAAATTAGACTTCCGAGTCCTGACGTCATCCCTTTACAACTCTATTGGTAATTGTTAAAGGGGTCATGAACTGGCTTTTTAAATTTTATTATATTGTTGTCTGAGGTCAACTTATGACGTTCGCTTGGTTTTTGCATTCAAAAACATCAAAATAAATAAGCAATAGGCTATTTTCTGCCCTAGATTTGAGCCCAGCTCAGAAACACTCGGTTTTTATGGGCGTCTCGCACTGAAGACTTGGAAGTAAATGCCCACTGCTGTGAGTGGATAACAGTTTTGCATATTATAATGAGTCCCGTCGATGCACTTGGGGGAAATTGTTTTGAAAACGTCCAATGTTGTAAAAATGGCAACCGGAATGATTCGCCCATACATGTTCAACCCAGAGTCCGTGTGTTACAAAATTCCTGTCAGATCCAATATAGACGGCACAGCACCGTTCTTTACTCTTAATCGGTCTGCAAATCCAGTGATGAAGCAAACAGACGACAACGTTTCACCCTCATCAGCTGGAACATCATTAAAAATAAAGTTTAACCATGTATTCCTATTGGAATCCAGAGGAAGCATATGCAGCGACTGTTTTCTTCCACAACCAGGCTCTGCACAATATTTTGTATTCCTCGGTAGCTGGATCCGGTTTGTCATGATGAGGTAGGCATCTATGTTATTTAGCTATGCGTGTAATGCGCGAATCTGTGGGCGGGGCTAAACCGGCCATGTTGAAGTAGGCGTTGATCTTCTTCTGTTGGGGTGGTGTTTTATCCTCTTTGACATCATAGTTCCCCACTTTGAAAAACGAGTCGTTTGCGGAGCCTGGTGTCAATAAAAGCTTTTATTGGACTAACAAGGACGTTTTCAGTTTTCACTGAAACTTAAAGGATATTCTTATAATATGATGACCTCTTAGATGTCAAAAAGGAAAATTTGATTTCTCAGTTCATCACCTCTTTAAAAGTGCCACAACTTCTATTGTGTATTTAGCAACACAAAACTAACTGAAGCTTAGTGCCAATTAAAACTAAGAGTTTCCCAATATAATATATGACTTGTACCAAACTAAGCTAATTCAGCCCACCCGCCTAAACCTGGTTTCTCTTCATTTCATTGCACCCTGTTTTCATTTGTATATTAAGATATCTAGCAGTGGGGTTTCTTAAGTTCATTGGAGTGTCCTTACCTGATGAAGTGCTACATCGGTCACCCAGTAATTATCGTTCTTGTCGGTAGTTATTCCATGCGGCAAATAAAACCTGTTCAAACAAACATCTCATTATCAACAAGCACAATGACTCAAAAACTAGAAAAACTAGAATAAATCGCAGTACAGTGTTTACACAGCTTCACTGATTATAAACGGGAGGATTCTACTCTGTCAGATTGCAGTGTGCTGCAACTGTCGACATGGTGCAATAACAGCATCTCATGATGGACTTACATATTTCTCCCTGAAGCCCTGAGCACTCGTCCTTTGACTGGATCCACCGCCATGATGGAGGGCTGCCGGATGGGGCCTAGCTCCTTCTGCTGGTACATGCCTTTCGTATTAAAGGTGCTGCAGGAGAAAAATACTTCATTGTACTATAACAGCTCATTGTGGAACAAAAAAAAAAAAAAACCCGAAAGAATGCCTGTGCTTTTCATGAGATAACCATAAATGCAGATGGGTGCTGTCTAGCTTCAAATATGGTTAAAAAGCACTGCCAACTTATCATTCATTGTATTCCAAGTCCTCCAAAATTATATGAAAGATTTGTGTGAGAAAAAAAGGCTTAAGTTAAGCTGTCAAATGACATCAGGCCTGAAATATAGCACACACATCATATGAAACACTTCTATGTTACTTTTGTGTTATATTTGGAACTAAACAGCATTTCTATTGCATAGAGAATAGAAACATGGACCTTCTGCTGAAAATGTGCTCCTCAGAAAGGAGAAAGTCAGAGATCAGGACTTTGTTGAGTAAATGATGACAGATTTTTTTTTTTTTTTACTGGGTGAACTACAATAATAATTCCTCAACGTACTCCCTTCCCCATTTGTGATCTCCTCTGTGGAAAATGATCAGGTCACCCTTAGAGTTGAGAGCCAGACCAGACACCTGTCCCAACTGCAGATCCGCCTCAGGCCAGTCTGACACCTCCACCAGATGGGCACCTGCACACACACACACACACACACACACACATTTACTTTAATTCAGGTTTGGATTTGAACATGGAATGAATGAGGAATGAGAAAGAAAAAACATTTAAAATCTGAGGCTTCTAGTTTGCAACAACACAGACATCTATCGAAGCTTTTGATAGTTTTGAGCACCATTGATTCACATAAATGGCTCAGCGGACCACAAAGAGAACTGGCTCATGGGTCTTAAAAAAAATAAAAGACTTGAAAAGAATAATAATAATAATAATACATTTATTATTGATCCACATTGAATAAATAATAACCCGTAGGCAAACTAATGAAAACAGCCCCTGAATAAGTTTGTCCGGAATAATGAGCACATCAGATGGATGCATCAGTGCATCATAATCACACAGAACTGCCCCTCGACTGAGCCTGGCTTCTCCCAAAGCTTTTTATTATTCTCCATTTCTGTCAGTGATGGAGTTTGGGTTCTTGTCACGGTCAACTCTAGCTTGCTTAGTTGGGGACACTTAATATTAATATTCAGCAAAATTATAATATTAATATTCAGCAAAATGATTGATCTGCCTGCACTGACACCATTGAGTGAGAACTGAACTGAGCTGGACGATGACATCACTCTTTCTGGCAGAGCTGCTTTTAGGGATGCACTGATATGACCATTTTGACTTAAACCGATATAAACCGATATATTGGCCGATAAATCTAAATCCACATTTTTGTATAATTTTTTGAGTCTGAAACAAAAGTCTCACCATAAAAACCCATGTCCCAAGCACACAATTATATATCATATATCATTATAATTTTATGTAGTCTATATGACAGCACATGTTGCACTAAACTGAATTTTCCTTTTTTGAAGTGATTCCAATCATATTTCAGACGAATCAAACCCATCATGTTGAACAGAGCGCATCTGAAGTGTCTCAGTAAAGTAAACAATACATTATTTATCGGTTTAATATGTTGGCCCGATAATGATAACATTAAAAATAGACATAAATCGTCCGATATCGATATGGTGGGTGACATATTGAGCATCCTTAGCTGATTTAAAGATGAAATGCATTAATTTAGTATTTGGAAATATTTACAATGGAAGTGAATCATTGACTTCAGCTGAACAACAGCCGAAATGCATCATTTTCCTGGTATCTCTGTAAAGCTTCTTTAAAACAATCTGTATTGTATAAAGCGTTATATAAATAAAGGCTTACACCGCTAGACGCAACACAATAGAGACACTCTGCATGTGAAATATCATAAGTCAACCTGTACTCGACTTATGTATATGAACACCTTTATGAGCTGAACTCTAGTGGGAAATGAGGAATTAATGTGGATCGCAGGGCACTAAAAACGATACACTAACCACTTATACCACACTCACTTATACTTTAAACTATGCACTTAAACTATGCACTATACAGTTATACTATACACTAAGCACTTATACCACACTCACTTATACTATACCCGCACTTATGCTATAAACTATGCACTTATACGCTCACTTATACTTTAAACTATGCACTTATACTATGCACTATACAGTTATACTATACACTATGCACTTATACTGTGCACTTATACTATACACTTTTACTTTAAACTATACATTATGCACTTATACTATACACTTATACTATACACTATGCACGTATCTATACACTATGCACTTATACTATACTATATACTATATGCACTTATACTATACACTAATACTATACACTTATACTATACACTATGGACTTATACTATACACTTATACTATACACTATGCACTTATCTATACACTATGCACTTATACTATACTATATACTATATGCACTTATACTATACACTTATACTATACACTTATACTACACACTATGCACTTATACTATACACTTATACTATACACTATGCACTTTTACTATGTATGAACTATGCACTTATACTATACTATATACTATGCACTTATACCATACACTAATACTATACACTTATACTATACACTATGCACTTATACTATACACTAATACTATACACTTATACTATACACTATGCACTTAGATTAAAAACACTTATACTATACACTATGCACTTATACTAAACACTTATACTATACACTATGCACTTATCTATACACTATGCACTTATACTATACTATATACTATATGCACTTATACTATACACTTTTACTATGTATGAACTATGCACTTATACTATACTATATACTATGCACTTATACTATACACTTATACACTATGCACTTATACTATACACTAATACTATACACTTATACTATGCACTATTACTATACACTATGCACTTATACTATACACTAATACTATACACTTATACTATACACTATGCACTTATACTATACACTAATACTATGCACTTATCTATACACTATGCACTTATGCTATACTATATACTATGCACTTATACTATACACTTATACACTATGCACTTATACTATACACTAATACTATACACTTATACTATACACTATGCACTTATACTATACACTAATACTATGCACGTATCTATACACTATGCACTTATACTATACTATATACTATATGCACTTATACTATACACTAATACTATACACTTATACTATACACTATGGACTTATACTATACACTTATACTATACACTATGCACTTATCTATACACTATGCACTTATACTATACTATATACTATATGCACTTATACTATACACTTATACTATACACTTATACTACACACTATGCACTTATACTATACACTTATACTATACACTATGCACTTTTACTATGTATGAACTATGCACTTATACTATACTATATACTATGCACTTATACCATACACTAATACTATACACTTATACTATACACTATGCACTTATACTATACACTAATACTATACACTTATACTATACACTATGCACTTAGATTAAAAACACTTATACTATACACTATGCACTTATACTAAACACTTATACTATACACTATGCACTTATCTATACACTATGCACTTATACTATACTATATACTATATGCACTTATACTATACACTTTTACTATGTATGAACTATGCACTTATACTATACTATATACTATGCACTTATACTATACACTTATACACTATGCACTTATACTATACACTAATACTATACACTTATACTATACACTATGCACTTATACTATACACTAATACTATGCACTTATCTATACACTATGCACTTATGCTATACTATATACTATATGTACTTATACTATACTATACACTTTTACTATGTATGAACTATGCACTTATACTATACTATATACTATGCACTTATACTATACACTTATACACTATGCACTTATACTATACACTAATACTATACACTTATACTATGCACTATTACTATACACTATGCACTTATACTATACACTAATACTATGCACTATGCACTTCTAATATACACTTTGGACTTATACACTAATAATATACACTATGCACTTATACTATATACTAATACTATACACCATGCACTATGTCAAGGGTTGGAAACAACGTGGAGGAATAATCATGTGACAACAGCTAAAAAGGTGTTTTTATTTAATTGAAATAAAGTCCCTCAAACTTGCATACGGATGTACATTTTAAGATAGGAGCTATAAATATTATGAGACTGTGAGTTAATAACCTGCCCTAGCACACAAATCTGACAAACCATTCGCGTGACCAGAGGCCCGTGCTCCTATGATTATCCCTCTGCGTGCCTGGATTGCAGACCCGTGACCTTTGTACTCAACCGTCTATTGCACTTTTGAGCTGTATTTTGTTATTTTGGTTTTTAAAGGTTATTTAGTCATTCAAGATGGTAGTCTGATTCCCCGTTCCCTCTGTTACGTAAGGAAAGCTGTGACAGCTGAGTGCAATGAAGTGTCCAAAACTTTGTTTTTCCAGTTCTTCTTTTTGGAATATCAGTGTGATCACACTACTTATACTAAAAACAGCACAGATTTAGAGGACAAGTAGGCAAACTGGGACACACCTAAGGTGTATAGTCACTTTTCAGCAGCAACGCTTCAATGTGACGACACATGTCACATTGTCAAGAAAAAAAGATGGACTGGGTGTAAATTAGTCTTTAAAAACCCTTAATTGAAAAAACTCACAAGTTTAACATCTGACCTCTAAACTGCAACCTGACAAACACCTAAAGATGTCAATGATATCTATTATTCTGCATTTTCAGTGTCCCCAGAAGAAATAGTACATAAGACACACTTCAAACTAAAAAAAAATATTTATATATGGTCAAAAATTAAGGCAAAAAGTATTTGAGTATCTGTACTAAAAACAACATTTATCTACTTTTTTTTGCATATGCCATAATTCTGAAATGGAAGAAGTCCATTAAAACAACCAGGACTCTTCCTAGAGCAGGCTGAACAATGAAACTGATGGCGAGATGGGCCTTGCTGAAAGAGGAGACCAATGGTGCGTTCATGTGCAATGGTAATTATGATAAATACCAAAAGCAGACATGGAAAATACACATGAACACCCCCTCATGTGTTATTTTCCACTGGGCAACTCGTAGAATATTTTGATGGATGAGTTGCTGAGATGAGATAAACTTTGAGCTTTTCAAAATGGCGGAGAGCACCGCGAGAGTCCTGAATGGTAAACATATATATGATCTATATATACAGCATATTATTTACCTTTTGAGTTTTGATAAATCATTTTCTTGCTGTTGCAGATGACTTAAGCAATCTAAAATAGTTTTAGCTAAATAACAGGTCTGGATCTCCATCTTTTTTACCACATTACGACAACAAAAGCACTTGAACGCAACACACTGGTAAATACCAGTTCACAAATGGAAAATTTCCTATTTTCCATAGCACGTGAACGCACCACAAGAACCTGCTGGTCACTCTGATTGAGCTCCAGAGATCACGAGTGGAGATGGGAGAAACTTGCAGATGGACAACCATCAATGCAACACTCCTCTGATCTGGGCTTTACTGAAGAGTAGCCAGCTGAAAGCCTCCTCTCTGGGCGTGAGAAATTACATTGAAGGTTGACCCTCCAACAGAACAAAACGTCCCTAAGCAAACAGCCAAAACAATACAAAAATGTCTATAGGGATAACTCCCAAACAGAGCCTGGATTTGAACCCATTTTAACCCCTCTTTAGAGACGCTGCCCAAGGATGGCCACCAACCAACCTGACAGAGCTTGAGAGGATCTGCTCAGAAAAATGGCAGAAAATCTCCAAATCCAGGAGTGTCAATTGCATCATAGCCAAAAAGAATTGAGGCTGCATAGTACTAAATACTGAGTTAAGGGTCTGAATATTTGTCTATGTGATTTTTCTTTTCTTTTTTATAAACGAGCAAAGTTATCGCAAAATAAGCATTTTAGGCCTGCAACATTACAAATTGTGAAAAATGAAGGTGTCTGATCGATATTAAAACATGATGATATTTCTCGCCAAAATAAAAAGCTATCTCACAATATCAGCATTAAGGAGATGAGTTTGAGTCTTTTACAGCTTATGATAATTCACATTCAAAGTGGAACTAAAGTGACAGCATTTTTTGTCAAGATCATGCAAAATACATAAGTGGAAGTAAGTGGCAGTGACAATAAGTGGCAGATTCCACGGACGAGAATACATTATCAGACCGTTTTCTGAGGCTGCATGATATATTAAGACCATTAAAAAGTAACATTATGTAGTTTTTCAACCTTCATAATATATTTCCAAGACCCTTGACACATCTGCCATAGCAAATAACAAAATTTAACTGTTTTACGGCATATGTCACTTCCCTCACTACTTCCTCAAATTCAGATGCGAGTAACCAACCAGCGTCTGAGTGATAAAGCAAGAGGCCGGGCAAAGATCAATATTGGGCCAGTGTTTGAGGGGGAGGAGGGCTTCCTCAACGATGCTGACTTTGCCGTCATGCTGTTGGACTAGTAAGTATATTGCTTGCGTAGCCTACTATCTCTAGTTTTTCTAATTTGTTGTCTGCCTGGCTATGTTATGGAAACTATCTGGTCCTCCGTTTATCTTCATGAATCAAGTAATGCTAGTAGAGGAGAGAATTATCAATCTGGTAGCTAGTAAACAGTAACATGCTAGTCTAACATTTAGCATGCTATCGATAGCATTCTCGTTTCCGATTTGAGCATTGCAATCGATGACTTTCAAATTGCAAATGTTTGAGTTAAAAACATTAATGCCGGTGCTGGATCAACAGCGAGTGTGAGCGTGAGCGTGCGCCAATAGGATGCGGTAGGCTAAAGTATTGACGAAAGCGGTAATGGACAATTCTGCTTCCAACCAGTAGGGCAAAAGTTACTTGGTGTTGCTTTAAAAAGTCACAATAAAGCATAGTACTATTGTGAAGACACAAACGCTGTGATTAAATTAAACATATATGCACTGTTGTATTGTTCTCATTTACATGCAAGGAGCACGTCTCAGCAGCTCCAAACTCCAGCTCAGCATCTGCTGTGAGTCTGATTATAATGTTCATCTGGGAATGCAACGTGCGCCATTTCACCAGATTTGTAACGTAATGCTAATTAAACACGCTAATACAGGAGAAAACTTCAGTATGTCTCTAAATATGCAAATTGTTGTTCAATTTGAGCCAATTTCAAAATAAAAGTCTGTGTGGCAAGTATTCGCTGAGTTTTGGTTAATATTTTTCACGTGTTTCAAAAAGATGTTCACAAGCAAATAACAGTACGCTACAGTTTTGAAAATTTCCAGATACATTTGTTTTTTTTTTTTAAAATGGCCGATGGTTTCTCTAAATAAGACCCTATTCCTCAGCTGGGAACGTGCAGAGCCGTTTGAAGCTCTTCATAGCACTTTGAAACTGCATTGATTTGGACTTCAAAATGTTGGTTGCAATTGAAGTCCATTGTGTGGAAAAAAATCCTGAAATATTTTCCTCAAAAAATTAATTTCTTTTCCACTGATGAAAGAAAGACATGAACATCTTGGATAACATTGGGGTGAGGAAATTATCGGGACATTTTAATTTTGAGGTGAACTAATCCTTTAAGTTGTTACCACTGCTTCCATGCCAGCGTGTTCATCAACCCCATAGGGTTAAACCTGTGTTTTGATGTTAGAAATTAGAGTGGCAGAAGCATTTCTATCATAAAGAAGTGTCCAAATATGAAAGGTATATTTAAATGAGGTTTTGTTTGGCCACAATTGATCATGCTGTAGACAGAGTGTAACAACAATCATATCATAATATGTAATGTACAGAAGTTGAATACTATTTATAGTGTATTACATTATGTATTTTTACAGTGGCGTTTAGTAAAACCATATGATTACGACATTTTTTTGCATTTTGTGACTTTCAGTCGAATAAAAGACTATTTTTCCAGTCATGTTTTGTCAAAACTTCTAGAAAATAGTTTTAAAACCATTCTCGTGAACCCAATAACTGAATGTTTTCCGAATGCACTTATGTATGCTTGTGTACTCAAGAACAATCGTTCAGTGAAATCAACTTCAAGGAAACCTGACCAAATTCATTGATGTCTCATCTTGCTCACAGGGGTTATATTTTGAACAACGAAATGAAAGCAGTGCATCTTGAAATCTAATCTATAGCAATTCTCATGTTCCAGATCGATCAATAGAGAATTATTAAAACCACATGCTAAAACATTACACACTCAGCCAACAATCTGCGCAACGCAACGTATAAATGATAGCAGTGAGATGGGTGAAAACAGGCATCAAAAGGAAAACAAATGGATATGTAGGAGACAAACGCTCGTCTCAGTTGACACTGTGGCCCATGGGTTGAAAGCTTACTGTCCACACAACACTTGATACATTTGCTCTTTGTTGGGGTAAAAAAACGCGACCGAAACCCACCTTGTTGGTCCCTTTGAGCCTCCCCTGTGGCGGGTACAGTCCTGCTCCTTGAGGGGCTGACAGTGGACTCTAACTGGTGAAACTTGTGCACTCTGTCCCTCACCAGAATTGCATCCTCTTTTGTTTTGTAGCCTAAAAGTGGCCAGCCTCGGCCTTTTTTTTGCATTATGCTATCAATCTCTGCCATCAGATGTGTCTGGGCTCGGGCCGCATCTGCAGGGTTGTACTTATGCACGTGGACAACATCATCTCTCTCCCCCAGCAGTTTAGAAAGAAGGGAATAGAGGTCACCTGCACAGGAAGAAAGAGGAGGAAAAGCGGAAAGACAAAAGAGGAATGGTGGTGTGAAAAGTGAGAAAGTCCTGCAGTGGATGAAGCGAGGTTGTGCTGGTGGTGTACTACACGACGGATGGTTATACGTGTGCTATTTTTGCCTGTCCTTTACACTGGTTGCTTATCAGATTGAATGACGCCCTCTACTTTTGTAAGAGGCAGACTGTGCAACATCAACAGTCTTTTATATCAGACTGTACCACATACAGTACATCTATTCTGATAACGACATCTGGGTGTTGTGCTCTGACACAAAACGAAAATGGTCAGAATGCTGCATTACAAACTGTTTTATGTTCATACATGTACAGTGTTTCAAATTTCAACTATTCCATTGGATACTATGTGAGCACAAAATCACCCTGCACAACAGAGATATCTGAATAAACTATTTTATAATTTAAGGCCTGTTTCACACTGCCAGTGTGCGCATCCTTGGTCCAGTGAAATGCATAAGACAGTATGTACCAGTACCGAGCACTATCATCACTATAATATTTCGCTGTAACAGTGGCCAAATAAGGAAGCTAGTGAATTTAAACCTTTTTATGACTATTTGTCAAGATTAAATGTCATGATGCGTGTCCATACACAAACATTTGGAGGGTCAGTGGCTCAAACTGAGAAAGAGGACACCATATTTTCGAAAACAACCTACTATTCTTGCATTAAAACAAACTGGTAGTCATTTACTGAGATAGGATGCCTGTCCCTATATCAACAATTGCTTAATGTTGAATGATATTAGTGAAATTATCCTTCACTTATTGAGTAATAGAATAGCACTGTCCATTCTAGCAATCAATTTCAAGTGTTAAGAAAAATGTCAATTGTAAGGACTTGAAAGCTTGCTAAAGTAGCTAATGCGTGTGGGAGACGCTTCAGGAAGCATAAAATGAAATTTTCAGATTACTTTATTATTTGACGTTTTCATGGAAAAGGTGACATTTCTAAGTGACCACAAACATTTTAGACAGATCAAGTTGTGACACCGAACAGGACCACATGAACACGCCAAAAAAACTAAACAAAACAACGACCACCTTGACCTGACTGCATATACCTACTACAAAACACGGATCCATTCAGAATTACTAAACACAGCAAGATCAACATGACATCATGACTTTTGCGTAAACATACACGCCACTTTGAGTCAAGTGGCGTGTTATCTCTACTTATTTTGAGCTATCCATGTGTATGCGTGTATTTCTACACCATTAACGTCCGAGTGATTCCGCGTGTCTGTACACACCGTCAAATGTCCACCCGAAACGAAGCAAAATGTAGATCTACATCTGGGGAGCGATCTTTTTTTTTCCTAGGATGGTAAGGGAACACTCATAAATGCCATTAACCCCAGTGACGGGTAGGTTTAGGGACGGGGTTGAGGTAAGTCATACATTTATATATACAGTAATAACGTTAAGTCAACGGCGTTCATAAACACGCTGAAAAGCGATTATGCGTCTTGATAGCACGACAAAAAAGGAAATACTGTACGAATTGCCGTGTCATACACACGCTACTTCATGAGATTAGTCTGGCAAGATACACATGACAAATAAATTAAAAAATTATCCTGAATGTGTATGAATGTACTAAAATGTGTCACACATTTGCACAAATACTCGTGTGTGTTTACTGTAGGACTCTATATGTCACTGCAATCATCTTTACCTCAATTGCAATCCAAAACTTTACTAGCGAGACATTGGGTTTGCTTTATTCTGCCCAGAAACGTAGTTTGCATATTCTCTGGCAATACAGCGGTGGAATGTTTTGACGTTGCGTTCAGTCTGTATTTCACACAGGACGATGCATGAGGGCTCACACTCTTCAGAAACAATCTCAGAATATGACAAAGCTCGTGTTTTAAAGCTTAGTAGACACTGGAATGAATAATTCACTGAAAACTGTTCTCTCTGCCATCTCTGATGTAATCAGCCTGGACCTCAAAGATCATTTAACTGCATAACGTAAACTAAGTTAATTGCATTAAATTAATTTAACGTGCCAAGGATTTTTAATTATTCACATGTGTTAACATATTAACGTTGACAGTCCTAATTTACAATAATTCGCCACATTTAGATATATCGCTTTTCTCTGCACTCAGAGTGCTTTACAAAGAAGAGGGGAATCACCTCAACCACCACCAGTGTGCAGCGCCACCTAATGATGATGCGACGGCAGCCATTCTGTGCCAGAACACACCGGCTTATTGGTGGAGAGGAGACAGTGATGAACCCAATCAGTATTTATATGGGGATGATTAGGAGGAGATGATGGACAGAGGCCAATGGGAACATTTCTCCAGATAGCCGGGGTTACAACAACTCTTTATATACACTCACCTAAAGGATTATTAGACCCACTTTCGCCTTCAGAACTGCCTTAATTCTACGTGGCATTGATTCAACAAGGTGCTGAAAGTATTCTTTAGAAATGTTGGCCCATATTGTTAGGATAGCATCTTGCAGTTGATGGAGATTTATGATATGCACATCTAGGGCATGAAGCTCCCGTTCCACCACATCCCAAAGATTCTCTATTGGATTGAGATCTGGTGACTGTGGCGGCCATTTTAGTAAAGTGAACTTATTGTCATGTTCAAGAAACCAATTTGAAATGATTCGAGCTTTGTGAGATGGTGCATTATCCTGCTGAAAGTAGCCATCAGAGGATGGGTACATGGTGGCCATAAAGGGATGGACATGGTCAGAAACAATGCTCAGATAGGCCGTGGTATTTAAATGATGCCCAATTGGCATTAAGGGGCCTAAAGTGTGCCAAGAAAACATCCCCCACACCATTACACCACCACCACCAGCCTGCACAGTGGTAACAAGGCATGATGGATCCATGTCCATTCTGTTTACGTAAATTCTGTAAATTCTGACTCTACCATCTGAATGTCTCAACAGAAATCGAGACTCATTAGACCAGGCAACATTTTTCCAGTCTTCAACTGTATAATTTTGGTGAGCTCTTGCAAATTGTAGCCTCTTTTTCCTATTTGTAGTGGAGATGAGTGGTACTCGGTAGGGTCCTCTGCTGTTGTAGTCCATCCGCCACAAGGTTGTGCATGTTGTGGCTTTACAAATGCTTTGCTGCATACCTCGGTTATAACGAGTGGTTATTTCAGTCAAAGTTGCTCTTCTATCAGCTTGAATCAGTCGGCCCATTCTCCTCTGACCTCTAGCATCAACAAGGCATTTTCGCCCACAGGACTCTCTTCGCCTTCTGACCCTACCATCCCAACCCTCTACCACCTACCAATCCAGGACCCTGTTTAATAGCGTGCCTCTGACCGTCACAGTGCTGAAATATTTCATCGATTTCCATTGGATCTTGGACTAACACAAACAAATACCCAGGGCCATCAGATAAGGCTGCTAAAACAAATGCTAGACATCTCTTAACTGGGCAAAAACACAACCACACAGGGTGGCTATAAATAAACCTCTAGATGCAGCCAGGTAATTGACTGGTCATGCCACAACAGTGGCTGGAACAAAGCAGGACAACGCTCCACACACTCCTATACAAAATGGATAGAATACTAAACATTCACTTCATACTAATTCAGAGAAATAAGTACTTAAAAACAGCTATTCTTAATAACAGCAGTTATTAATAACAATTATAACAACTTTTTCAATTATGTTTGGATCTATGCATTCAGAACATTGTCAAAACTTCAGCGGTGGTTTGGGAAGCAAGTAACACTGATACAATTCAGTCACCGTTCAAACTGTGAGTTTTAGATTATGCAAATGAGCTCCACGTGGAGATGCTAATGCATAACGTATAAATCTAGTCTGCAAAAAGCAATTAAAATTACCATGATATGCAAAAGACCAAGTCATTTTTACAATAAGACCCAATGAGACCTTAAAAAAGTTATTTTTCAACATTAGTTATTTTAGAATGAACAATACTTTTACAGCCTTTATTAATCTTAATCAATACATTTAGATCACGTTATGTTAAAATGAGTTAATGCACTGTGAACTAACATGAATATTTTTATTAACTAACATAAAAAAATGTTAATAATGCTGTAAAAATATATTGCTCATTGTTAGTTTATGATTCTTAATAATACATTTACCAATGTTAATAAATGAGACCTTACAGTAAAGTGTTAGCAATTTTCTTTACTGCTGTAAAGTTAAATGTAAGGACCTTTGCGATTCAATTTTACCATGGTAAAACAGAAGAAATGAAATACAAGCTCTCAGCTTTTTGGTAAGTGAATCCTTTTAAAATTTGAACTCCAAAGAATCTTAAAAACGTTGCTGTGAAAGGAGTCATGCATTGGTGCATTTATCACCAAAAAATTGAGCAATAAAAAAAAATGAAAGAAAATTGTATTCATGTCATGACATCTTTAGAACTAATCTCTGATAAACCACAACATAAACATGTCAAAGTTCATTTGCACAGCTGCCAGCCTATTCACATCAACAGTAGATCTTCATGTAACCAATAAATGGAATGATGCGTTTACCAGTTTGTCGATCCATATGCCACTTGAAACATGATTTCCTTTCTTTTATAGAACACAAAAGGAAAAATCTTGCAGAAAGTAATTTTCCATACAAATAAATGTTATTAAGCTACAAACAGGCCAAGAAATGACAAATAAATTAAGATCTGAAAATGAGTTTGAGAGCCGTGTCGGAGCAGAAGGCTTTTAGTATTTGTTTATTGTATTACATTTTTTTTATTATATTATTATGTTTATAATTATTATTTTGAATTACATTTTATTCGCAAATTATGTTGTTGTCATTTTTGAAAACTTCACTGCAGACACAGTGAAACATGTGTTTTCATGGTGTTTTTATGATGCTTTTATCGTTTTTTTATCTTTCACTGTATGGAAAAAGCAACAAAACAACAACTTTCATGTACCAATGAAAAAAGAAAGTCATGCAGGCGTGGAACAGTTTTTATTTATTTCCCAACCTTGCTCCGTTTGGATGACTCCCCTTTCTGACACTCGTTTCCAGTCTCGGAGCCTCTATTGATGAGTTGTACTAAACATCCATTGTTTTTTTTGTTTTTTTACGGCAAAAGAGTGCCATTCAGCGTGTCAAATTAGATTTGTAAGGGTATTCCAGCACTGATTGTGTTTCACGACAGTCTCTCTTAGTCTTGACTATGTCTGTAATTTGAAATAATTTGTAAGCATCTTACCCTGATCCTGAACGTCCTCTTCTCTCTTGGGCTCCTGCAGCTCCAAAGACTCCACAGCATCTGTGCAAATCAAAAAAGAAATGAGAAAATGAGAATATATAGAAGAGAACAAATCAAATTAAGTACATTTCATTTGAAAACATTCTGGTTTAATGTAAAAAATAAATGAATATAATATAATATAAATAGAGCAATCATACCACGATACAAGAGTTTGGTCGTACTGCCTAAATCTGGAAATGTATGTATTTGGACTGTACCTTTATGAGGAGCCGTCTCATGCCTCATGGACATCATATGGTCTGGCCTGACCGAGATGGGAGTATTGGCCTCAGAAGGGATGTTTCGGAAAAGCTCACTGCTGCCGTCATCTCCGCAGTTCATGTATGGCACAGCATGGATGTTGTCCATGTAGTACATGATGTAGAAGTTACACATCTCATCGTTGGAGGTGCCTCTGTGAAGAAAACAACAATGGGAAATGAACAAACTACCAGCACAGAACATTAAGCATGAAAATATGCAACACAACTACAGTAGCCGTTGCCTCAAATGACCCCCAAAGGCCACTGACCCTCTATATACCATAAAATGGAAAGACATTTCTCAAAAAACCTGTTAGGTTTTGATTTTGTTTTTACAACTTACGTAATAGGATAAAGATGGACTATGCAGGATTTTCAGTAAAAACAACATTCAAACTTGGCCTGTCCTTGTGGGCAGGGTCAACTGAGCCAGAAGCCACACCCCTGAGCAGGAAGCCACACCCCTTTCCCTTGACATCACATCAGGTGCCACAACACTGCGGCTGCATCTCAAGAGCAGCTTCAGACTCAGTCAGGTGTTTTTAAACAGTTACGCTAATAATTCGATGACTGGCTTTGCGATCGAGTTTAGCGATCTTCTGTCTAGCTCACTAATTAACAACAATTACGTGTCATCATAAGAACCTAGTAATCTGATGTGTTAAATGTGCTTTCAATAAGGGAATAGCAACATTCTCGAATTGGTTTGTGTCGAGAACTTAGCAGAGCTACAGACACAGACGTCACACACACACTGGCCAAAGAATGCAGCCCAGAAACACCCGAGCACAGCAAAACAAAACACAGGCGGAGGACAGCGTCTCTGATGACACAAACACCACCACACACTGCCAGTGCATCACAAGTCATAATTGAAAGGGATAATGCTTGTATGATACGATACTTTTTTTGGGGGGAAATCCTGCATTGTGCAACTTAATGGGATATCACAGGGATAACGGGATATCACAGCAGTATATTTTAGCTTTTGTTTTCAGATGCACTCCTAAATACAGAAAAAAGTCAACTTTTATGGCGAATATAGTGTGTGTTTGTATGTATATATATATATATATATATATAGGAAACAGTTGTGCTGCTTAATATTTTTTTATAACCTGTGATACTTAAAAAGTAAAAAAAAAAAAAAAAGGATCAGTAAGTTTTTGAATAAATGCTGTTCTTTTTACATTTTTGTTCATCATTAAATCTTGATAAAAGTATCACATTCCAAAAAAAATATTAAGCAGCACAAATAATAAATCATAATGATTTCTGAAGGAAAGATGACTCTCTGAAGATTGGAGTAATGATGCTGAAAATTGAGCTTTGATCACAGGAATAAATTACAGTATATTAAAATAGAAAACCATTATTTTAAACTGTAACAATATTTCACAATATTATATTGTTCCCTTGAGCAGAAAAGATTTCTTTCAAAAACATTAAAAATAATAGTTTCCAAACTTTTGACCTTTTGATATACCATATATTATTTCTTAATCTTTAATCAAAATGTCATCATGTCACAACTCATTTCAACCATTCACATTCTGCAATTCTTACTTTTCACAATCTTGTCAACAACGAATGGATACATTAAGCCCTGCCCTATTTCTTTTGCCAGCTCGATAATGCATTTCACTCAGAAATTCTTCCATATACACAAGTAAAGTAAACTTCAAGCCAACTTCAAGACTAGGACAAATGCATTTATGATGTTTCCCACAATTTTTCGCACAACGACTGTCAGATCTACACAAAATTTTACACTGCACCTCAGAATTACATCAAGTTCAGTGAAATCTGATATTTTGTTGAATAATATAACACTAGATTAAACAAGACACTTTATTATTTCAAGGTTCTATAATTTAACAGGTTTAATAAGATGGTTGGTGCTTGGACTCCTAATTACACTTGTCATGGGGTGCACATACTTTTTCACAAAATTGTATGTATAATGAGGCCTGTAATGTATTCATGTCTGTGTGCTTGTGTGCACATGTTTCAGTTGACAAAGACCAGACTTTAAGTCAACAACCATCTTATCGTGTGGCGTTGAGTCGGGTGTGTGGGCTTCCCGGAGATGCGTCAGTGCACTATTGTGTGCTCGCTCGGTCACCGTGGTAACAGGAATGGCAGGGCAAAGGCAAACACACGTCTGAGGAGTCACGCTCAATCGGGATATGATGAAACACACACACTTTGACGAGCTGACCTACGCAGTGTGTTTCAACTTTCATCACACACACACACACCACCTGTCGTACCATGTGTCACTTTGTAAGATGGACGTACAGTAGTAAGACAGGTGGTCAGAGACACAGCGACAGGAATCAACACCATGCAAACCGAGTGAAAGCAAGACGCTGGAAATGTCACCAGCATGCACACCGTCATCACTCATCTCTAGCACACTTACTGTCACCGTAACTCTACATAGGAATGAAAAATTAAAGGTGAAATCTCTTACAGAAAATCTGATGTCAATTTTCCAGTACATTTTAAACAATGTTATTAAGTTTCGAAAAAGCAGTGAGAGTCTAAATAAAACAACAACTAAAGTTAGTCGGCAAGAGCTTACCCGATTTCGGTATTAGTTGTTCTTCCTTCTCCTGTGAACATACATCGGGCTGCTAGTACGTCTCCATTTTTTACATCAATGGTATTGGTGGCTGGATAAAAAGCCTGAAGTTTAAGTTCAGGGAGGAGAAATGAAATGAAAAAGTTAGTTCAGCCAAAAATGAAAATCCTCATATATTTACCCTCACTTCATTCAAAAAAACATTTCATTTTTTAATGAAACCTGTGAGATTTCTGTCTCTGACTGACCAAAAATAGCCTCAAAAAGTTCTAAAATAAACTTTAAATATAATCCAAGTCTTCTTAAGAGACACGATCGCTTGACGGACAGATTTAATTTAGGCTTTTATTCTTAAATAAACAGGCCAACACACATTATATGGTAAACAGAAGCTCAAATGTGCTTGCTTGACCAGAAATACAGTTGTGGCCAGAATTACTGGCACCCCTAGAAAATCGTATGACTAAAATATGAAGTATATTCCCATTAATATTTTTAAAACAATTAGCACACCAGTGTGAACGGGAACATGAAAATTGTCCAACCATGACTTCTTGTTTCACAGAAATATAAATATGAGAAGAAACAAAAGCCAAATTCCCTGAATCATCCATCACAAAGATGAAAACCACAGAACATATTTCTGATGCGCAGCAAAAGATTGTTGCAAAATAACAGCTAAAGCATTGAAAATTCCCATTTCCATCATCAGGGCAATAATTAAGAAGTTCCAATCAACTAAAGATGTCACGAATCTGCCTGGAAGAGGACGTGTGTCTATATCATAGTGAGGACGAGAGTTTGAGTGGCCAAAGACTCTCCAAGGATCCCAGACGGAGAACAGCAGAGATTCGTCGAGTCTTGGGGTCAGAAAGCCTAAAAACCCCTCCATCACCACATGGGAGGGTTTCAATAAAAATCCTCTGCGCTCATCAAAGTACAAACTCCAGCATTTTCAGTTGTCAGACACGACTGGACCTTTAAACAGGACTGGTTTCTGTGGTCAAAACTAAGAAAATAGCTTTTTGGCAGCAAACACACCAGAGGGGATTAAACGTACCCCATGCCCACGGTTAAATACATCCAGGCACGTGCACACATAGACATCAAAGGGGGCTTGAGCACCTGCCCTTTTTATTCCTGGAGAGAAAGTGCCCTTTTTTCTGGGTTGCTTTTTCATTTTATTTTTTTAAGAAAATACATATTACTATTTGCGCACAGTTTCCCTGTCAAATAAATAAATTTAATGCATAGTGTATCTAAATATCAGGTCAAGAGTTCTGAAGCGCCGATCAGAGTAAACGCGTCACCTCTAGTAAGCTCGCGCTGCCGTCTGGACTTTGAGCCGAGCGGATAAACAAATGAGTTTCGTTGTGCTTTTGCCACATAAACATTATCGAACGTTTATCGAACTCTATATTGATACCGAGTATTGACGATTTTGACTCAAACTTGATATCATTTTATCGCGAACAATTGTATAGTGATAATAAATGAATGAGCATATCAATTTAAGACGTGGCTAAATGTAATTTATGGCCTTGTATGGAAAATCCGAACGTTTTTATGAATTTGTATGGCCTAACATTCTTATTATTAAAGTTAATGACTTACATAGCTGATGCAAACAGAAACAAAATCAAAATGTGGATTTTATTTGATGATGATACAGTTCTCCCTCAAATGTGAAGTCCATGTCACCATCAGGTTTATCAAATATGTACTTGATTGACACACTGTGGCATGGTTTCCTTTGCTGCTCTATAAACCTATGAATACTAAAGAGACCATGATTTCTGTGTGAACTGATTATTTTGTAGACATCTTTTGAAAATTAAACAATTGTATGAGTTTGAGGAAGATAAAATTAATTAACTTTTTAAATATTTTTTTAAAAAAATATTAGAGTTATTAATATATATATATATATATATATATATATATATATACTTATTTGTTTAAAAAAAAGTAAAATAAATAAAAAAAAAATCATGAGAAGTGCCCTTTTTTCACTTGAGCCCCTGCCCCTCAAAATGTCTGTGCACGTCCCTGAATACATCGCTGGATCTTTAATTTTGTGGGTCTATTTGTTTGCTGGAGGTGCTGGACATCTTGTTCAGATACATGGTATCATGGATTCTAGCAAATACCATCAGATAAAAAAAAAAAAAAAAAAAAAAAAACTGACGGCCTCAACAAAATCAACACAAAAATGTGTCACTGAGCACAAAATGAAGCTTCTGCCATGACCGTCCCAGTTCCCTGAACTGAACCCTGTAGAAGATGAGTGGCTGAACTGAAGAGGAGAAGCACCAACATAGATCTGGGAATCTGAAGGATCTGTAGAGAGTCTGTACGGAGGAATGGTCTCTGATCTCACGTCAAGTGTTCACCAAACTCATCCGGCATTATAGGAGAACTGTTATCTTGTCAAAAGGAGGTTGCAAAAAGTATTTAATAAAAGGGTGCCGATAATTATGGCCCATGTGTTTTGGAGAAAAGCATTTATGTCATAATGTAATTTACCCCCACTTTCAATAATTTTACTTTAATGAAAGGTTAGATTTTGTGATTTTTCAAAAAAAAAAAAAAAAAAATTTGATCAAAAGTATAAACAATGTAGATTTATTTTTACAGCCATCTTTGATCATATTTAGCAGGGGTGCCAATAATTCTGACCACAACCGTATCTTCATTTGTGTTTCGAAGATAAACGAAAGTCCGAGTAGAGAATATTTTACATTTTGTGCGAACTTTGTTTTTAACAAACAAATCTGCAGACTCAAAAAAACCAAAACATGTACGAGGAGCATATGAATCACAATGACATGACTGACAACCCTTATCAGTGAACCCTTCCCTCTCTAGGTGCCACATAGTAACCCATCATGCTCGACCAAGCAGAAAGGACTTGTTAAACATACCTGTGGCAACAGTGGAGACTGGCGCCCGATCTGAGTCCACTGTCCATCTCGAACCCTGTACCCACTCACAACTTTACCTGAAGCACAACACATGCAACAAGTTTTCCATTACCATGAAGTAAAAAGAGTAGACATAACAAATAAATGCAATATCTCACCAAGGCTGTGTGTGTGTGTCCTGAAGGCAAACGGATACATCGGGAAAGATGTGTAAGTGCAAGCGATGTCTGCATTGGTAACTGCGAACACCAAAAACATAAGACGTCAAAAATAACATAACATACGTTTATCAGGTGACAGGTATTGATAAACTGATCACAACATTCCAGGTAAAGCTGAGAAGTCTTTCACAAGCCCAGATGTCTATAAGCTTATTAGAGCCAAACTGGAAAATAGTTAGAATACCTTTCTTCCCTGGAGGAATGACAGTGTCCAAAGACATCATCAGGTAAATGCCAGCAATAAAGGGCTGTCTGCATAGAGGACACAACATCCATCACACGTCAAGGGATTTCAGATAACGTGACAGTTATATGATTAAGTAAGGAATTGCTGATGACAGCACACTTCATTATTGAAAAATAATGTGCATCTGAGGAGCTAATGCAGACACAATGCAAAGAAGGACATTGTTTTTCCAATAATTCTACAGTCTGGAGTCAATTATATTCAACAGTTACCAAGTCTCAAGATATTTGACAGGTTTTATTAGGAATTTTTGACTTTTTAATGTAGTGTCTACCCCGATGAAGATCGGTCACCACTTAAAGCAAAGCTTATTTCGACACAGGTGCAACCACAAATGATGTCTCAGTGGGTGTTCACGTATCTATATTCAGAAGTTTATTGGATTCAGGCCGATTTACGATTAACAAACTTGAATCTTAGTTTTGTCTCTGCGTTTCGTTTCATTGTTGACTGCTATTTTAAGCCAAATTAAGTGACACATAATAATTAAGGCTTTTGTATTTATTTATTGCCATTTCATGCTAACATCGGCTAAGTTTCCTGTGGAGCTGTTCTCCCTTCCTCATTTCCTTAAAAAATCAGAATTTGTATGCTTACCTTAGCTAAAGTTAGTATTCTTTGGTTTTCTAACTGCCATAGGAAAAATAGTGTAGTTGCTGTTTTTTTTAATGATTTTAGAAAATTATAATAACCTTTGATACTAAAATCTATATAGTGAATAATATGCGTCTTCTTTTCTTCCTGTGGGAGAGCAACCCAGCCAGAAACTAAAATAATTTAATATGAATTAAATGGAAATTATCTTAAATTAAATACAGTTTACTATGTAACCAAAATACCAAGAATAGCCAGAGAAAAAAAATTAACACATATTGTGTGACTTTTAATTATAAACAAGCCCGAAATACACAGGGACTCTTATTTCGAAATGTATATTGCAGACTGATCCTTCAAATTCAGATGAGGGAGATAAAATATGCATTCTTACAGCTGTCTAAAACATATTACAATATAAAGACCATAAAGTAGACATTTTCATAATTCATGACTGTGAACCACTTTGATGCAATCATAGCCTTTTAACTCTTTCCCCGCCAGCGTTTTTAAAAAAAGTTGCCAGCCACCGCCAGGGTTTTTGATGATTTTCGCTAAATTTGAATGCCCCGCTGAATATTTTCTTCCATGAATATATGAAGATGATATATATAAAAATAAAGATCTGAGCCTCTGCTTTTAGGCAAAAAAAACGTTTTTATTTTATCTTCATCTGTTCTTTTTTTATTGCCTCTTGAACAGAGGTAGGTTTTGTCAAAAACACAACATTTTGGACAAAAAACTGAGAAAAAGGTATTTTTATCAAACAAGTGCATTTAAAAGCAGAATACATTCAGATGTTGTTTCCTTCATATATAAAACTTTACAAAATAAATTAAAAACATAAAATAAATGTAAAATATATCAAATTTCCCAGGATGTAAGGGAAATGTAACTTTTGCAATACAACTTCTGCCTCTCTGTGTTCTACCTGTGAATAATGAATAATTGGAATTACAATAAACAGGCCTAGACACACACACACACACACACACACAAATACATATTACAATGTGGTAAATGTGCACAAAGAGAGAAATAATTTGACAATTACACCTTCATATTTAGACAGCCACACATAAATGCCTGCACACACACATACATATTATAGTGTCATAATATTATACGATCTATTTGCGGCACGTCCATGGCTAGAACTTTCTGTGACAACATGTGCATCTCTCTCACTGACTACTTCGTCCCGATCAGATTCAGAATTATCAAATAAAGAGTGATCGGACTCCGAGTCCATTAACCTCCAGTACTTCAGCCATATACCTCTGCATTGTCTGTCTGATACATTCTCACTACTCCACTGTTTGAGACGATTGCGATCTGTTTCTCTGATCAAACAGTTGCGCAATCATTCAGGACATGCGCGCGGGTCTTCCTTACCGTATACCACCTAAAACACGGATACCCGGAAAATTCCGTGTTTGGCGCAGATGCGTTTTTTCATTAAACACGGAAAATTCCGTGTTTGGCGGGGAAAGAGTTAAAATGTAATACATGTAATCAAATCACATTAGGCTGTATTGCGATTTACCCATCCCCCAAACATAGAATACCTTAAAATTATAATGTATAATGTTATTTCATTAACACTATACAAAGTGCATTGAGAAACAATGTTTTACTATACTTTTGTATCTTTCTTTGTAAAATTGCTTATCCAAACATTTACTGTACGTTCACACCGCCACCGGCGAGAGCGTCAAAGTGGCCGGAAGTCATTCATTTTCATTGAGAGCCGGCGGCGAGCTCCGGCGAGAGCGGCGCGGCGCGTTTCGGACGGCGAGAGCGGCGAGCAGAGTTGAAATCAGTTCAACTTTATGGTAATAAGCAATGACGCAGTTCGGCGGCAACCGGCGGCAACCAATCGGAATGTAGAAGTGCTCCGTTTGAGAGAATCCCAGAGAACGCAGTCCTGTAAACTTTGGTTCCAGCCACATTAGTTCCCAAGCAAAATAGAGGAGGTTGATAATTTGAATTTGATAAGAGGGCGCGCAACACTATTTATAGGCAAGATTTTCGTGCTAGAACACTTTTTTTTTAGCGAGAATGCAAATTATAATAGCACTTAACCATAACCACACAAGCCACACCACACACATATGGCTTTTAACATGCCAGTATAATTTTAAAGTTATTTCCATCGATCAATTTTCTGCAAAAATAACAACTGACATGCTTGTTTGCTTTGTGGCCCCTTTAAATACCATTCCCCGAATTTAGCGAATTTTGCCGCTCTCGCCGGCGGCGGTGTGAACGTACGGTTATAACTAACCCATAGACCCTCAGAAAGCTTGAATAGATGCTTTTTTCCCCTCAGTGTTTCAAGGTTTCAATGGAGAATTTAGCAGCTGCTCAAATTTAAACTCAAGCTATTTATTGGCACATTACAAAAATACAAAATAAATCGTGATGAATGGTGATTTATTCACAAGCTCAAAAATGTAAATTCCCTGTCTTTCATTTTGCAGTTCAATTGAAAAACAGGTTTGGAAATGTCAATGTTTGGGAACAACAAATATGTCTTATGAATGACAAGTCACAGTTATGTTAAAATCTAGTGGCAATAACTTACGGTTTGGAAGTCATTCTTAAAGTGAGTCCTGAGCAGTCTCTATGATGATCTACAATCAAGACGAGATGAACACATTAGTCACATCTTAAGACACAGAAACAATGCATTTCATCACAGTCACAGCCATAATACAACAGTTTTCAATGAGCAGGACTGCTTTAACAGCAGGACTAGCAGTGATTGACAGGCCTCTGGGTGGGTGCATACAGAAAATTGTCAAAATGAGAAAAGAGAGAAGTAAATAAATCATGACAAAACATGCTGATTTCATAATACTGTTGCGTTATCTCTGGATCTTCTGTATTGCTGAGCTTACCTCTGAAATTGTTGACATCACCATAATGAATTTGCAGCACAAAGTAGTTAATTCTGGTGTCTCCCCCAACTTTAAAGCCAACGTCTGCAAAAGAAGAACATTTCAGAGTTGGTTTGATTATGTTTCAGATAAGTGCATTTACTCATCGTGATCAAGTATAGGTTACACTGGCTGCTTTGAGACAGAGAGAAGCGGAGGAACGGTGAAGAGCAAGGGGAGCACCTTTAGGTAGTTTGGTTGGAGGAGCATTCCTGGCCCAGGCATACATGATCTTGGCCTGATCCCGACAGGTACCCAGCTCTCTCCCACAATCCCTGAGCAAATCAACAACAACAACAACAACAACAACAATAAAACATCAGAAATTATCCTCCAGATTAGCATTATTACTTATTTAACACATCCATTCACAATGGTAGAAAATTCCAATGCCATTGGTTGAGCCAATAATGATATGCTTAAACAAAACTATCATCAAACATACAAATGCATGATTTCATCCATAGTGTTTATTGGAAAATCCACCGGGCAGTGCAAATTATAGAAAATTATACATTACTAATTAAAGGCATAGTCCACCCAAAATGTTTAATCCTGTCATCATTTACTTACCCTCAAGTTGTTCCAAACCTGCATGAGTTTCCACAAAAGACATTTTCAAGGATGTTGATGGACAACACTGACTAGTATTTTGTTTCCTGTACGAGTCAGTGGGGTCTGTTTGTTACCCATATTCTTCAAAATGTCATCTTTTGTGTTCAGTAGAAGAGAGAAACTCATGCAGGGTTGAAACAACTTGAGGGCGAGTAAATGAAGACAGGATTTCAATTTTTGGGTGGACTATCCCTTTAAGGTGTTATACCTTTAACAAATAAAGAACGCATATACATGTGTGTGTGTGTGTGTGTGTGTTCTTTATTTCATAAATTCATACAATAAAATGTCTATAAGTTAGCACAGATCAGATTTAACATTTGCAGACATATGAAGATTTCATCCATAATCCTCTTGGTGGGTAATGATATACGGAGATGGATTGTTTTTTAAACTGTTATTTCCAAAAAAAAACACACAAAAAAAAAAACACTACAATACCGTACTATGTGGTCGAAAGCTTGAAGTTTAAAGTCTGTAATTTTAATGTGGGTGTGGATATTTAATTGTTTCTCCATTTTCAACATTCATTCCAACCTGAGTTCTGATTTGCACATTTTCCTGCAAATTCATTTATTCCTGACAGAAATATGTTAAAGCCCCAGATCTAATGATTTAAACACCTTATACATGATTTAAAAACCTCTATTGACAAGTTTTGAAGATGGTAATATTTTCCCCCTCATAAACAACCCATGACCCAACAACCCATAGTCCCACAGCACTAAGGCTGCACACGTCTATTTCCAGACATTTGCTGGTTTGGCATATTAAGTAGCCTATTTCCATGCTGAGCTCCAGAAGCCTCACATCAAACACCACGAGGAGGGCCCGACAGCATCTGCATGATGAATGTTTTATACGTTCCAGAGAGAAGCTGCTGGAAAACGGATGGCATTGCTGTTCAAATGAGGCAGAGATGAGCATTTTTCAAATATATATTTAGCTTTATCAAAAAATCATTATTCACCAGCACCTTTATTTTGAGTTGCCATGTATTGAGGTTTATCGGGCGATACGTATTGAGAGATTTTAAAGTGAATGATTTCTTATCACGTAGACCATGGAAACCCCCCCATTCAGGTCATCTCTCAGATGCTGCTGTCGTCAAGGTGCACACGGTTGCCACGGTAACCGGCCGTTTGATCACTTTTCTATGAGGAAGGTGCTGTTGTTGCACACATTACCCAAAGAATTCAGTTTCATCTTGGTAATAATGCAGAGGTGTGACATTACAGGCCAGAGGACAACTGAGATTTGAGATTTAATGACTTGTTTTCAAAATCGTATGACTAGTTCACTAAAATAATTCACTTCTTTTAACTTTGCATTTGAGGTGAGGCTGTTATATACTGTATGTGTGCTGGAACAGACACTCATTATCATGGTAATGTTTCTTGTGCTACTAGCATCACCAAACAGAAAAACAAGAATATGAATTGTTTCCCAAAAACTCCCACATTTTGTTCCCAGACAAACAGGAACTGTAATCCCACCCGCAAACTCACTTCAGTTTAAACCATAGGCCAACATGTCAAACGCTCAAACAAAGAGATCGATGTTCTGGAAGTCCCACAAGGCCACACTGTTTACAGTCTTCAGGAACTCAGCAGTCAGTGGATTATTTACAGTTGGCTATGTACTTAAAACAGTGAGAGGAGTTACCAGGAAACAACTGAAACCGTTTTTGCCATCGTTGACGTTATTTAACAGAAATAAAATATGCATGATGAACTCGCCAAGATTTTATTTGAAAATCATTCAATATAAAGCTCAGCATTTATTTGTAATAGAAAATTCTGTATCATTGCAAAAGTCCATACTGTCACTTTTGATAAATCCTTGCTGTCCTTGCTGAATAAAAGTATTCATTTCTTAAAAATGAAGAGATTTCAACAGTAGTGATACAGCATGTATGCATATTTTTGTTTGAGCATCCCAACCAGCTTGACAATGTTATTACAGTATAGTGCCACTAACAATTGTGTCTGCAAATTAAGCGGGGGGGAAATCAAGTATTGGTAACATCACAGAAATAAAAATCACACACTTCCTCATTAACCAGCAGAGACACTCTGATGTCACTCACCAGTATCCTTGAGTGGCGTAAGGGGTTTTGCAGCCGTATAAAATCATGTGGTGGGCTGTGTCCATACTGGCATGGGGAACAAAGTCCACTGAGGAGAGAAAGGTTTGAAGATGAAGTCAGTAATGAAGATGGATAGGTGAGCATAAATGTATCTTGATACATCAGCGTCATAGCATTTCTGCCCACAAACTAAAGTAAAGTCAGCTCTCTTTAAAAGAGATCTCACTCGCAAAGCCGCCACAAGTCATATGACCCTGGGATCAAATTATTGGAAAAATGTTTACTCAGAAATCACTGGTGCATTACACAAATAATTACAAAGAAATGGCAAGAAACATAAAGAATTAAACATGAAATATTGAAGTGAAATTTTCCAATAATCTTTGATTTATTTACAACTTCAAAACAAATCATATTTTAAACAGCAAATGAAACCTCTGTGAAGAGTTAGAAAGGGTGAATGCTGTTTGCTTGCTGGCATAAACCACAGTAAACATCAATATGCTGTCCTAAAAGTGATGGATATCTTCAGGAAAGGCCCCTCTCTCTCTCTACTGTGGTTATGAATAATTGATGGGATGTTTGATTGACGGCGATAGCAAGACATCGATCAAAGAGATAATGTATCTCTCAGAAGTCTGGGTGGACCTGCTTTCCCTGAAGACCACCACAATGTAACGCAACACATTAATGAACACAGATTACAGATTCAAAACAAGTCAGTTCCACACAACCAGTCAACAGTAAAAATTAATTAACGTTCACGATCCCTCAACTTGCTTAATTGCAAGATGGATATGGTTGAATGTAATGACGAAACTCAGTAACCGCTCGGGCTGATTCAATGAGTTCATTCACTGAATGATTCGTCTGATTTATTTACACTAGGGATGGGTCGATACCGATAACCGATAATAATATTTGAAAGCCGATGACCGATACATTGGCCAATAAATCTAAATCCACATTTTTGAGAGCCTGATTACAAAAACAAAAGACTCACAATCCCAAGCACAAAATTATAATGTCCATTTTTTATAATTTGATGTAGTCTATATGACAGACTTATACTTTACTGTAATTTCCTTTTTCAAAGGGATTTCAATCATATTTCAAGCAAATCAAACCCATCATGTTGAACAGTGCACATCTGAAGTGTCTCAGCTGAAGGGAAACAATACATTATTTATCAGTTTTAATATATTGGACAAATTTTCTTATTGGGTCGATTAAAAATGATCATGTATCGGCCGATACCGATATGAAGGCCGATATTGTGCATCCCTAATTCAAAGCAGAAACACCTGATTTTTTTGTCTTTCTGAATGATTCATCAAATGAGCCATTTCAATCACTCAGAATACACCTCTTTCGCTGTGTGTTTGTTTTAGCTTGCAGCTCGCATGGACAGGACAGTTTTATAGACAGACGTCCGTTGTCTTGTTATCTCATCACATTCATTACAGACTGCAATCTCATCTCGCATTCATTTTACTTGAGAAAAATATACATTTGCTATAGCAATGGAGATTCAGAACTGCAAGAAAGACTGGCGACTGTGATAGTAACACTAATGAAAGTCTTATACTGGTTGACAAATTTATACTGGTTTAATCGGTACATCGCTTCCCCTACTACAATTATAAATATGTTTTAATAAATATGTTTTAAATATGCTGAATACAAAAGTATTCAGAATATAAAAAGAAAATCAGATCAGTCTCTAAAACCTGAATAAACCATCACCACCCATACAGTAAATGATCAACTGTACAAGATGCACACATGCACTTCTTTTACTGGCAGTGAGTGTTGAGGTTGAACTGTAGTGGTGAATTCAACGAACACAAACAGCCTGCCATTACTCATTTTCATGGGATTTACTGGCCTGGATGACTTGTGTAAAGATCTGCTTAAGCGCACAGCAGGACACGGAGACTCAGTGAGTCTCATCTAAAGACTGGCCTGAACAAGATTATACCTTTAAAGCCTGACCAGATTAAACATTCATCGAGATCACAGAAAACAAATAACATTCAAGCTTATGATATGCAGGTTGGAGAGAATTCATATCCACTCCTTGTCCAAACATGACAGTGCATATGCACTCATAAAAATAATGGAGGCAGGTTTCATTCGTTGTGTACTTAAGAACTCATAACTTCCTTGCTCAGTCTCAAGTCTGGTCTATTTGTAGACGGTTCATGAGGTGAGTCTTAGTTCTTGTTCTCTCATGTTTGCACCTGGATCTAAAACTGTTCATCTACTCACCTATGTAGGCCTCCCGGGACGTGGGGACAGGGACAGCCATACAGAAGTAGCTGTCGGACTGTTAACAAACAAACACATATAAGACAGTTTCTATGAAACACACACATTCATTGCTGGACATGTACAAAATGCATTCTAGGTCATGTTGTCATAATGGGAATATAATCATTTCCCATTGAATTTTAAGCAATATCTACAGTGTGTCTCAAATCAATTTTAGGAACAGTCATCATCTGGCCTTACAACCATATAGCTTAACGCAAAATATACACTAATACCATTTAACACAACATGCAATAATCACATAACTTCATTACAGTGTATGTGTTAGTTACACACTGTACATGTAACTAAATTATCAAAAGCTGAGTGTTATTTCATAAAACACTGGATTAAAGATGTAAAGAATGTCTAAGAATTCTTATTTACAACTATATAGTATAGTAATGTAAAATTGTGGAACTAGATTCAGGTGAAGTATATCATATTATATACTGCATAAACTGTACGTTAGTATGCATAATAGCTGCATTAATTTGATTCATTATTTTGTATATATATATATATATATATATATACTGTGTGTGTGTGTGTGTGTATATATATAATACAGATTTATAGGCCTTTCCAAAGCTTTAATTTTCTTGTTTTTCAACCATTTTGAGGTAGGCTTGCTTGTAACACTGTAATATGATCCTTATTTAGACAAATCCTCTCTTTCTCCAGATTCAGTGCACTCAGCACCATCAGACATCGAAAAAAAAACGTAACTTAAATCTGCAGCAATGAGTACAGCTCTATTCATTACAGAGTGTCAGGAAACACAGCCGTAGCCAAGCAGAAATACTGTTAGTACCAAGAGATAATGAATCATCTGGAGGCCATTCAAGATCAAATACAACATGTGCCTTTAGGGGCAATACTTGTCTGCTTTTTAGGGGGGAAATTGTTAATGTTATGCTTTTTTGCACTATTTTGGTCTGGATTTCAAATCTTAATTATGCCTATGGCACTTAAACCGTCAAAACATTTGACTTGTAAAAGCTTGCGCAATTAACATAATAAGAAAATGTTATGTTCATATTATGAACGCGACCGGAGACGACGGACACGCATACAGAGAGCATCAGCTTTAGTTTCTGCTCTGATAACCGCTAGATCACACCAAACGCAGTGATCAGATCGACAAAAATACACATCTTAATACCAGGTGTAAACAGGGCCGACTGTACGTCTATGACTCATCGGTGTGTCATAAATATTCATGAGACTGTGTGTCCTTATCTTATAAAAAGGCACTTCTTTTAATTATTCAGGCGTTCCTATGACAGATGCTTCAAAATACAATGGCGTGGATATATATGTTTGACACAGAGCACAAATGTAAATGGCTGTGGATTTATTGGTGCATTAAATTACAGCTATCACAGAATGTGTGTGTATTTGTGTATTGTACAATGAGCTTACAAAATCATAATAGACCTGATCATTTTGATTCATGCAATGGTGAACTGCAGCGTATTTTGTGGTAAGCTTGAACTAAATGACAGCGTAATATATCTGAGAACTAGGTTTCATGACCTTTAAAGAAATGTGCAACAAAGAAGATGTACAGAACTCTTACCTCTGTTGGAATTACTCCTGGTATGCGAATATCCAGTGAAAAATTGTACGGATTGGACAGGACAAAAGGCTGCCTGGTCCTCGAGCAGTCATTGGGCTCTGACCAGGCATGTTCCTGAAACCTGCCAGAAACAACAACAACAACAACGTGAATGTGCATTGCTATGTGGTTGCTATTACTATATTGAGCTGAGATGAATTTGAGTTTAGATATCAATTTACTAAAATGAACAACGTTTGGATGTTGAGATGTGTTGGATGTTGGATTTGGATGTTGAGATGTGTTGGATGTTGGATTTGGATGTTGAGATGTGTTGGATGTTGGATTTGGATGACTGACTTACAAGGTCAAAACATGAAAAAATGAAACATGCATGGATGAAAAACACAATAACATGCATTTCAAAAGCAGATTGAACTTTTGTTTCATGCCGATTTAAAGGAAATGAATTGCCTCACCTCTTGAACCTGTACATGGGGTTTTGGATACTGTGGCACTGACAGAAGAGCGCAAACACAAATATGCCGCACCCCAGCATGCCTATCTCTGACTGGATGGAAGAACAATCAACAACAGAACTGAAAGTAAGCCGATGCGTTATCCGCGTCAATCCTGCTCTGCCGCCATAAGCATCGGCAACACTCAGCTACTGCGACTGCTCCCGTTGTTCTCTCCTCACTTGCACAATCTCTTCAAAGAAGTGCCATAAAACCGTCCACCGTCTAAGTTGCCTCCACTCTGAAAGAAACCAGGGCTGTCCGGATACAGTACGACCACCAAAGGAGATGAAGAAGAAGAGGAGGAAACAGGCTTTCTGGTTCTCACGCCAGGCAGAGCATATCACAAATCAGGCTTCTCTCGCAACCTGCAAAAACAGCAGTCAAAAAATGAGAACAAATAAATAAATAATAAAAACAGCACTTTCAGAATACGGAGCGCGAGATCGATTCTTACACGCCCTACCAACATTCATAAAATATACATGCACAAAGTCCTTCTCTGAAGAGAGAGAGACTGAGGGAACGGGTGGAGAGAGCACACAATAATCTAATCACAGAGGATTCCCATAACAATAGCCTCGGAGACGCAGTCAGGAGTGAAGGGGGCCTCAGCAGTCCACAGGGAACAACTGCTGGAGACGTCACTTTACTGGGAATCATGGGAGGCATCAGCTGAGTGCATCTTCAATGTGTTTACCCTGAGCGCACCATCACAATATGCCCACGTTCAGTCAGTGTCAATGGGATGCAAAAACAGACGCTACCACGCTAATCATGACTGATACCCTTTTTGCAATGACAGATGTCTCAAGATGATGAGGAAACCAAAGAAAGATAAATAAACGGCACGGGATCTTTCCCGTCTGGTTGTATTTTTTCTGCCGTTTATTTATCTTGGGAAGGCTTTCAAAAATGGGGTTACAGTCTTTCAATCTAAGCTGAACTAATCGCTGAAATAATCCTCTCGACAGACACTGTTGGAAATTAACAAATTGACAAGGAGCTGTTTGGTCTTTCTGGACCATATGATAATCAAAAAAATGTATGCACACCCAAACAGACACGGCAAATTCATATTCCTTCCCTTGGAGATTCAGAGAAATAAACTGACATGAAAAATGTCAACATTTTTAAAGAATAAAGCTCTATTCAAGTCGTTTATTAATGGGATTGGGAACAGACCCTATTATATGTCAAAGACATTTTTACAACAAAAATTAACCATCACTAAACTTGACTATGATGGACTAACAAACTGTGTTGCATTATTTTCCTGTTATCTCTGTAAAGCTTGAAAAAAACGCTTTAAATGAAGGTGACTTGACTTGACACTGAACTCCCCAGCATAAACGCTGATAGTTATCAATAAAAGTAGACGTGTGAAAACAAGACATTGTACGTCCAAGTGGCATCAAATGCATTCGCCAAATCAAAGAAAACCGCAATCGCATATCTTTTGATTATCAACATACTGTAGAGCATCACTTACAGGATGATTGGACTCCATCATCCATACAAAGCCTTCATTAACCATTATTAATAATAACCATTATTGTTATTATTCTCTCTTAAACCCTTTGTCAATGAAGGCTGTAGGACAATAACTGAATGGTTTGATGTGAACTTTCCCTGCTTTAGGAACATCAATGATTATCACTGCTTTCCAAGACATTCTTTAAAGGAAGTTCAAAACAGCACGAGGTAAACTCTTTAAAAACTGACTGTGGATGTCATCCGGACCAACAGCCATATCATGTGTTTCAGAATAGTTCATTAAACGATTAGCCTATATGAAAAGACATCACCCCTCTTTTTTGCCTGAATTTCTCAAAAAGCTTGCTTAGAACAAGTGGGAAAAGGTCACTCAAACTCTTCATTAGGCTATGTTATTTAAGCCTATTCTATTTAAGCTACTGACATAATAACTGTGATATCAGTGCTGTGAGAAAAGAAAAAAAAAGGTCAGCATAGAAACACATTAGCATTTAAGCCGTCACAGACTGACTCCATCTTCCATTTTATAATATAAAAAAAACAGACGCTGTGAAACAGAAAGCGCATGATCTATTGTGCGTTTACTAGGTATGAATCATCTCACACGCGCAAGTCTGCACGTCATCCATACCTGTTATGAAATGCAAAACTTGCAGCCTGCAATCTCAAATAATAACTGAAAAGATGCCACTGTGATCCAGGGAAACGTCTACTTTTCAGCAGACCTGATGCTTTTTACTTAAAGAGAAATCTGACCCAATCAAGTTTTGATGAGGATGGATTATGGATGGAGGGAGACAAGTACCACTCTGAGAAACAAACATCTAATGATCCCCTGCACCTTCTCGAACACACGCCATTGATCATCCAACAATTATCAATCTGCCGCACGGCAGTCTCTCAGAAGTCACAGTAAATCACCACTGACGCCATAAATCCACTCAAAGCACCGCACTATATAGAGCTGCTCTGTCACGAAGCATTCTCTCTGCATTAAACGCACCGTAACACAGGGAATAATAGTGAGGAGTCCTCTGTGAGAAGGTGAAAGTCAAAAAAATCATAACAGACTGCCTACCTCACTCGCTCGTCAAAATAAGGTCTGAAGCACGACAGAAAATGAGAAGGAACTGGAGAAAAGATAGGGATAGGGAAATCTGCTTCAGTGCAGCCTGACTCATTCATAGAGAGAGAGAGAGAGAGAGAGAGAGACAGTCTAGCGTGCTGGTTGACATCATCATCAACATCACACCCAAGACCTGAGGAGGTAACTATGGTAACCACTGCACGCCCACCATTTCACCATCAGTTACCATAGTTACCGTCCCCATGAGTCTCTCTCTCTCCACATTGATCCATCAGTGTTTAAGCCGCTCGCTCTCATGCACAGAAACACACCATGAAAACAGTGGCTACGCCCATGCAGTCAGTGTCGGAGACTAACAACTGTGAGAAAAAAAAAAAAACTATGATGCATGATTACATGAGCAAAAACAATATTGTTTAGGTCTATTACTAAAATCAAAATATGTATAAATAGCATAATATTAGGAGAGTGATTGCATCATTGACGATGCTTCACGGGAGTGGGCGGTTGTCGAGCTCTTTGACGCAGAATCCGTTGCTATGGTAAAAGGAGCTCTTCTCTGAACTAATGGGTAATGTAGTTCTTCACTGGGAGTTCGGTTATTGCTTTATTAATAAAGTTAAAATCTCTGACTTATGGCATTTAAGCATTAATCATCACTTACTTTCAGAACTCAAGGTAGGCCTGTGTTGATACAATACAATTGGCAAGAGCTTTATTTTAAAGATGCATTCAACCATGTATTTAAATTCAAGAGCAATGTTGTGTGTGGTGTCTGAATCTTTTTCTCCTAAAATCCCAGATATATGCTATCATTTATTTACTGTAAAACTTCCAATAAATTAAGAGAAACATGTAACTAATTAAATGTTAAATGGCATGGCTTAAACGCTTAATTTGGGGACTTATGTTTTTTGGGGGGCAATAATATGTGCTTTAGAAGTATTAAGCAGACAATATCATAGTAATATTCATGCTAGTAGCAACTAGTTAATAGTGAGAATTTGACCCTAAACTGAAGTGTTACCAAACATTTACATTGTGTGAACAATATCAGAGGATTAGACACATTATGTGGCACTTCATGTGACAAACACTTTATACTCTGAGTGATCAGTGATTGGAGAGACATGACTCTGGATGTTGCAAGGCAGCATTAAAGTGCCCCTATTGTGTTTTTTCAGATATTACCTTTCACCTAGTGTGTAATTTTGCTGTTTCTAAATGTCTACGACCAAAGTGCAGAGTTATTGTCTCCTAAAATAAAAAAAGATTTTCATGCAAACAACACCTATTTTGAACCTCAAACACTGTTTCTGCAAGTTGAGACTGGAAGAGTTTGAATTACGTTATTCATGTCGAGAACCGGCTGATTTCTGCACTGCGAATCTGCTTTGATGCACGTCCAAAAGGATGAAGAATCACACTCAAATTGATACAATAACTGACACCATCAATACTGTTCATATCTAGGGCTGCCCCATAATAGTAGTTGTTAGTCGATCAAGATTTTATTAGTCAGTTGGTTAGTCGCTGAAAAAAAAAAACTCCACAGGAATTGGCGAAGTGAGGCAGTCTGTGACGGACAGATCGTTAACGGCGGGTTCTTGTGACTATTACAGTTTGTCGGGCTCTTTATCCAAACGTTTGCAATCACCCATCCACCTCAAATATGGCTTATCATTTAAACATGAAAATAGTAGCAACTTTACATAACTCTATCATTATCCTAGATAAATGTGTGCTATTATTAGGTGCACATCCAAGTGTCTGTGCCGAGCTGAAGTATAGTGTGCTTTGATGCACAACATGGAGGCGCCACCGCAATCACTTCCTGATAACGGCGGAAACAACTTAAAATACTCATTCTGGTCATGTAATGTATTATACTGTACATTACATAATACACAATACAGAGCAATATAATACATCATTCAGAACATAAAGTGTCTACTTTTATTTGTGTAAACTCCAATAACAAAAAAAAAATGTAGTGCTTTGTAAAATAAAGTCTCGGTGAACTTCGAGAACGGCACAAAAATGAACAGAAACTCAGTGTCCACTTCCTCACAGATATGAGAAATACATCTAGAAAGGCTTGAAATGTCTACAAATAATCTTTGCTTATGTAATCCACATGAAAGGTGCAATTCTCTCTAAAGGTGTGTCCACTTTGGCGGAGATGAGAGTCGGCATCGTCAACTTCATCTTTGCAGCGACACTGACTCTGAAAACACTAGTTTATTAATAAATAATTAAAATATCTTGCTATTCTTACACGTTTAGAATCATTACTTTTGGCGATACTTTACGGCAAGCTTTATGTGTGAATTTAGGTGTAATAATAGGCCAAATATTCCACCCCAGTATATATTTAAACAGTTTAATGAATGTATAAATGTGGGTTTAGTCATCTAATGGCTTAAATAAATGACTACTATTCGACTAGAAAAATCTTTAGTCGAGGACAGCCCTTTTCATATCACTGTGCATCAAGTGCTGAGGAACTGAAATTCAGATATGATAATGGTCATTTGTGTCCGACACAAACTGTGGTCAACCAATCACAACAGACTAGTTCATCTGACCGATCAGAGCAAATTGGACCAATCACAACAGTCTGGATCATCTGACCAATCAGAGCAAATTGGACCAATCACAACAGACTGGTTCATCTGACCACAGCAAATTGGACCAATTACAACAGTCTGGGTCATCTGACCAATCAGAGCAGAGTAGACCAATCACAACAGACTGGGTCATCTGACCAATCAGAGCAGAGTAGACCCATCACAACAGACTGGGCCATCTGACCAATCAGAGCAGATTAGACCAATCACAGCAGACTGCGTCATCTAACCAATCAAGGCAGAGTAGACCAACTAAAAAATAACCAAATACACGTCACATGCTACCCTCTTAACGGTCTTAATTTTGTTCATCTTGCGCTGGTCTAACTCAAGCTGATGATAGCTACTGGCGGCGTGCATAAAGCACCATGCAAAGATAGAGATTTCCAGTTACAGATGCCACTGTTATGCAGTAATCGTGTTAGTGCCCCTGCCCCATGATCCATTTGTGATGCGTTCTGGGAAAACCCATGACATGGTGACAATTTACCTATTACAGGTTTTGATACCAAATGAGTGCTGGTTTCAATATACTTTTAGAGATGATGGATAACAATTTAATGAAAAATAAATTGTGACTAAAAACTGACATTTTTGATCTTCCTGAAAAGGGCCCAGCACAACATCCGACGGGTTTTCCCAGATCACATCACATTTATTCTGTGGTTTCATTTTTACTTTTAGAATAGGCCGTTTGTGTGATCAACAACATATAATAGCATAGCACCGGTATTACATAACATTCAGTGGAACATTACACTCAAAAACAGAAGTGCCACAAACTGACTACAGATTATAAATAGCCTACTACGATTTATAAATGAGCGTCATTAACATTTATTAAAAAGTATAATATTATATTTAATTTCGTATTGTCTTGTGAAGCTCCACATTCTCAATTCAGGAAATTCCCACAAATATTTATTCACTATAACATGTAAGCTAGTTTGAATATTAAGTTAATCCACAAAGATGAACAGGAGGGTATTCCAGAAAGCAGGTTAAGTTTACTCAGAGCAGCTTCTGTTCCAGCGTTCGTTTACTCCATTTACTCTATTGCTGACACTCCAGTGGCCGTGACAGATTACACATATGGTTAATAATATAGGCCTATATATATATATAACATAAAGCAATGTTTAATTTACTCAAATTTATTCTATTCTCAGTCATCTCACACATTGTGGATCTGCAAGTTTTTGTTGTTATATTTTTTATATAATGTATTTACAAGAAATGTGGAAGCAAAGTGGCTAAACATAGGCCATGTTATCTTGGCCAGTTTTTCTTAAAGTTTAATCAAGCTTTCTTTTTTAATTCATAATAAGCATTAAACCAAACATATATTTTCTATACAGTAATAAAAAAAAATGATTAAAGATTTAAAATTTAAGATTTATAAAAACAATTGCACAACTGCACAGTAGGTGGCGATATACAATAAGAATATATCAGCATTCGTCAATAAACAAAAGAAAAAGAAAGTTTTCCGTTTCCATGGTTTCCGACTCCTGGATTCGGCGCTCAGTTGAGAATGTCTTTAGGGCTTTTTACTGCGCTTAACCCCAAGTTATCGTCGTTCTAAACAACACCTTTACCCCGGTAAAGGAGCACTTCACACTTGTAATTTAGCAGCGGGGTAAGCAAAGCTTTTTACCTGGGGTTGTGATACCCTGCTCCAGGCTTAGCACAACTTTTTACCCAGGGGGTTTTGAAACCTTGCTCCAGGCTTAGCACAGGTTTTTTTACCCATGGTTATGAAACCTTGCTCCAGGGTTACCACAGCTTTTTACCCAGGGTTATGAAACACTGCTTCAGGGTTAGCACAGCTTTTTACCCAGGGTTATGAAACACTGCTCCAGGCTTAGCACAGCTTTTTACCCAGGGTTATGAAACTCTGCTCCAGGGTTAGCACAACTTTTTACCCAGGGTTATGAAACACTGCTCCAGGCTTAGCACAACTTTTTACCCAGAGTTCTGAAACACTGCTCCAGGCTTAGCACAGCTTTTTACCCAGGGTTATGAAACACTGCTCCAGGCTTAGCACAGCTTTTTACCCAGGGTTATGAAACTCTGCTCCAGGGTTAGCACAACTTTTTACCCAGGGTTATGAAACACTGCTCCAGGGTTAACACAGCTTTTTACCCAGGATTATGAAACACTGCTCCAGGCTTAGCACAGCTTTTTACCCAGGGTTATGAAACCTCGCTCCAGGCTTAGCACAACTTTTTACCCAGGGTTATGAAACACTGCTCCAGGGTTAACAGCTTTTTACCCAGGGTTATGAAACACTGCTCCAGGCTTAGCACAGCTTTTCACCCAGGGTTATGAAACACTGCTCCAGGGTTATGAAACACTGCTCCAGGCTTAGCACAACTTTTTACCCAGGTGTTATGAAACACTGCTCCAGAGTTATGAAACCTTGCTCCAGGCTTAGCACAGCTTTTTACCCAGGGTTATGAAACACTGCTCCAGGCTTAGCACAACTTTTTA